TTTTTTTTTTTTTTTTTTGTAGCCCCCGGGTTTTTTCAGGCTTTTTCGGGGAGGTCCCTCCCATACGGCGGCGGGCCGCCGGTAGGAACCCCCCCCCGTTGGGTTGGTTCCCCGCCTTTTTTGGGGGGCCCCCCCAAACAAAAAGTTTTTCCCCCCTGGAAATTTTTTTTTTTTTGAAAGGCCCCCCCCCCCCAAAGGGGCCCGGGGGCCAATTTTCCCCCCCGAGGCCCGGTTCGGGGGAAACCCCGGGGTTTTTTTGGGGGTGGGGGGGCCCTGGTTTTAAGGTTTCCATTGGGGCATCCCGGTTTTGGGGCCCCCCCCCCCCCCCCCCCCCCCTCGTCACGACCTGTAATCGGATTGAATTAGAGGGTTTGTTGTACGCGGCGGTTGTTGCAACCGGGTGTTGTTTTCGGAAGAATCATTGCTGATTTTTCTCTCGGAGAGAAAAGAGTCCAGCAATGCATTTAGTCTGCCTAAAAGTAACTCGATGCTGGGATTTTTGTTTTTGTTTTCCACGCCGTGTCGTCTTGTGCATGCGGCGTTGCAGAGGTACAGCTGTATGCGTAGGTTCATGTGCACCTTGCTGCCTGCCAGCCTGCCTCTGGAGCAGATAAAAGGAGATCACGATGATTCCCACAATCGCAGGTATGCATACCGGGGTGACGGTATTTTGAAAATGTACGTGGTATTCGCTTTAGCTCAATCCGGCCTCCTCTTTGGTTTGTTCTGCAGGGAGCTTCGGGACGGTTTGCACAGCCCAGCACAGGATAACTGGAAAGGTGGTTGCCGTCAAGCGCATTCCGAGGTGAGAGATCACGATATTATCGGGCACTGAGGTTCATGACTCGAGGCGTGGAAAACCCCCCATCGACCGCTAGTCTACTTGCAAGATTACACGGTTTCGTTTTCAAACCACGATGCCTGTTGAAAATGTCGGCGTGTACCAATATCCCCCGGGGATGGGGTGATGCTCTTTCTGTAGGAGCGATCGCCGTTCGTTCGATGTGGAGTGCTGCTCACGATCGCTGGCAAGTCCAAACCCCGTGTCTCACGGGCGAGATTATATCGACAGTGGGATGAATCCAACGCAACAACCTTTCGCGCTGCTCGCGCGTCGGCCTGTACGCTCGATGACAGCTGTATTTTTTGGGTGGCCTGGCGCTGGTCCCGGTGCTTATGCAGCATAACAGCTACCTGTGTGTGTAGCTGCTTCGGCGTCTCTTGCCTGACTATTGACAGCGTGGGAGGAGTCTTTGGTATGGATTCGTCCTGCTGTCGAAGCGCTTTGCCGCTGAGAACAGCAAGCTAGTGTGTAGGAGCTCCACCGGGGATGCCCCAATCATTGTTGTTTTCTGCGCGTTTGTGCTGCGCTTGGTAAAATTCGCGTAGCTCGTGGTCGTGATCGTTGACCCTGCCGTTTCTCTTCGTGACCTTGGGTATGAACACTTGTCCTTCAGGACGAGGACCCCCGACCTTACCTTCGCCGAGATCTGCTGGGAAGTCGAAGTGCTCAAGGTAGGAACGAGGGTTTAATACTTGAATATCAGAGAGAGAGAGACAGAGAGAGAGAGAGAGAGAGAAAGAGAGGGAGAGAGAGAGGGAGAGGGAGAGATGCCCTGCTTGATCGTTGCATGTTGATGCAGAAACACGGCGGTGATCGTCTTCAGTCGCCCGTTTTTTCTTTCGTTTCGTCGGTGGTACAAGTAGCAAGGTAGTTTTACATTCCTCCCTCCCGCCTGCCCCCGCGTGTGTGCGTAGCACGAGTAATCGTGCTTCCTTTACCCTTGGGGCGGTATCCACTCTTGCCTGTCATGCGTCACCTTTACATTTTCATGCTTGCACGTCTCCGTGCGATTGTTTTTTTGGGGGGGGCGGGGGCACACCGGCAACGCTAACGATGGTACCCCTAAAATATCAACTGCGACGACACACAACCAACAGCTGGCTGGAGAGCATCGCAACGTGACGCAGTTCCACGACATCTTCGAAGATGATGACTACTACTACCTGACCATGGGTGAGGCTTCACCAGATAGATGCACCTTCGTTGTCTTGTTTTCCTTTCAAGTTTTTCCGCCTTTGGCCCGCACGGCGAAGGATTTCTCATCTGGAAAAAGATTATGGCAAAAAGACGCTTTATGGACGGACGTTTTCTGGGTTACTGCGTAGTACTTGTGGATTGTGATAAAAACGCTTTTTAAATTGCCCTGCTCACGCAGGGCAGCCTCCAGTCCGAGGTCCGCTTTCCTTTGAACCTGCGTACATGGTTGGTTACGACGAACGAAGTCTCATCCAAATCAAACGGCACAAGCCTTGCGTAGAACAGTCGGCGCGCGGCTTTTTTTCGCCAAGACTTTTGCCGAAGTACTTGCGGAATTCGCCGAGACTCTTAGTGGTTGGTCATCGTGCTTCTCACGTTGCACACCCACCCACTTGTCTGCAGCTTCGACTTTTGCCTATCTGTCAGTATCTGCTACCTTTATGTGTGTGTAGTGCATGTTGAACGACGGGGTCAAGAAAGAAAGGTAATACTGCTGCTGTATTTATGTACTGCCGTATGCATACGCATAGAGATCTGATGATCCAGAGATAGACTAATAGCGATAATTGGAGCAGCGTGTATAAAGGCCGAAGGGAAAGGCGGTGCTGAACTGAGATCCATCCGCGTAGGGGTGAACAGGCTGGGGAGTTATTAGTGCGGAATAACACTGGTTGCGTCCGACGCTGGCGGCGGAATAGCGGCCGGATTTGGTCCAACCGCGTTGCCGAGACTCGAGAGGCATCCCGAATCTTGGAACCTACGCGGTCTGCATGGAGTCCCGTGACTTTGAAGAGCCTCCGACCCTCCCCCGCCGTTCCCAGGGGACCCACAACGGGATGAGTGGAGACTCATACCTTATTCTTGCACTTTCCCTGAAAATCTTGCCATGGCCAAGTTTGGTTTTGTTGTTGTCCAGTTGGGTTGGAAGGTGTCCTCCGATGGCTTCAGCTAGCCTACCGAGGGCGCGACAGCATTCGTCTTCCTGTTTGGGTGTGAGTTCGAGCCCACAAAGCACGTGCGGGTCTCACGATGATCCTGTCTCCGTTTTTTTTCGTGTTCGAAACCCTCGTCATCAATTGGCGGAGGAAAGGGCGAAACCAAACAGCCTCACCTTGGTAGGACTGACTGTGGCGGTCGCCGCAGCACCGCCTGTTGTACTTGACTCCCTGAACTTTTGTTTGACCGTTTCACCGACTTCTCACATGCAACAAAACATGGAACACGAAAAAGAGCTGGCGCGGGGAGGAGAGCTGTTCGATTTGCTGGTGGACAGCGGCCCGCCGGACGAGGTCCACACGGCGACGCTTATGAATTCGCTGGTGGAGGCTGTAGCTTTTGTCCACCTGCACGGAATTATCCACGGGGATATCAAGGTGAGGCCGCCGCTCTCCGTGTCTTGTTGTTTGTGGTGTTTTGGGTTGTCGATCGCAGAAGTGGACGTCAAGGTGTGGGTGGCGCCCGTCCGGCGTGGTTTTTGTTGTGCCTGTCTTGTGTTGTATCTCTATCTGTCGTCTGTGTCTCGCATTCTGTCGTCTGTGTGCTGTCTCTCCGTCTGTTTGTATCTGTCGGTCTTGCGTCCCGTCTGTATTGATAATTTTTTGGTAGTCGTTACGGAACAATGGAGGGCACCGACCTGGCCGGTGTCCAAGTCTGTGTCTTTCTCTCTCCTCTCTCTCTCTCCCTCTCTCCCTCTCTCTCTCTCTCTCTCCCTCTCTCTCTATAACTTTCACCCTCCCTTTGGTTCTGTCACCGCCGCCGCCACCGCCTCGACCACCGCTACGACACGACCGCCCGCCCGCCCGCAGCCCGAAAATGTGTTCTTGACGAACAGCAGCACGGGAGACGTGGACTGGGAAGGCGTTCGCCTGGGAGACTTCGGGTCGGCCGTGGAGATGGCTCTAGGGGGAGGCACCACCCTCTCCGGGATGCACACAAGGTGACCAAAGAATGCTACATTACGAAACACATGTAGATATTGCACAGCGGCTTAGCTTTTCGCACGGCCCGTTTCTTGTGCAACACTTGATCGCCGTGAGTCGGGTACCCCCTCACGGCGTCCCCAAACCATGGCCTTTTTGAAACGTTTTTTTTGTTTCACCCCGATGTCTTTGCATGGGTCGTCGGGTCGATGTCTATACAACACCTTTGATTTTGATACATAGCGTGTACACGTTGTTTTTCCCGCTACAATACTGACTGACCCCTTTTCATTGGTCAGCCGCGGTCGATTTTAGTAACAAGCTCACACACTTTCCCGCTATGACACTTTTGCGTTGGTCAGCCGGTTAGCGCGGTCGATGCTAACACTAACGGCACACACACACACGTTTTGGGGGGGGGGGACGGACCGGGACCGCATGCTATGATACGTACTTCAGTAGTATTGAACACAGGAGAGGCTTTTGATAAACAACACCACTATCAACCGTTGTATTTTGCCCGCAAACAGAGGGACCGTGGCGTACAACCCGCCGGAGAGCCTGCGGCGCATGCTGGACGGGAAGGACGTGGTGGTGACCACGATGGGCGACGTGTGGGCGCTGGGAGTTGTCCTCTTCATGCTCCTTACGGGAGAGCACCCCTTCACCCCGGACATGTCGATCTCCGACGAGGAAATGGCGAAGCGGGTGCTGGGGATGTGCGACGGTCGGTACGGCGAGGCGGCCTTGTTTCCGGACACAGAGGACGACGAGGAGGGCGGGGGAGGGGCCAGGTCGAGCGTGTCCCCGCTCGCGCGAGACCTCATCCTCAAGATGCTGACGCCAGACCCGGAGCTCAGGGCGACGCCGCAGGAGGTGCTGCAGCACCCGTGGCTAGAGCTGGCCTCTCTCGGGGGAGGGGACCGGACCCTCCGCACGATGAATCCGCGGGGCCACATGCACCGGCACCGCGCCGAGAGGCACCCGCGGCACGGGGAGCCGGCGCCGACGAACCCGGAGGCGCTCCAGAAGTTCTGGTCCGCCCGCCGTAGGCTCAAGACCTGCATGCTGTCCCTCATGTGCGGGCTCGTCGAGATCGAGGCGGAAGAGTACAACGAGGAGGAGAGCCTGCGGGCGCTGATGGAGCTCCGCCTGGAGATGGACGAGAGGAGGAAGAAGAGGGAGGCGCCGCCGCCGCCGCCGCCGCCGGCCCCGGCGCCGCCGCCGGCCCCGTCGGGGCTCGCCGGNNCTCGCCGGGGCCGGGATCCCCGCGGTGCTGCTGCCGAACTCGCCGTTCCAGTCGCCGCCTACCCGCAAGCGCCGCTTCTCCGCCGCTTCCTCCGCCGAGATGGAGGCCAAGGAGAAGGCGGCGGCTGCGGCGGCGGCGGCGGAGGCCGCCGCCGCCGCCGAAGCCGCGGAGAAGAAGGCGAAGGAGGAGGCCGCAGCCAAGGCCGCGGCGATGTACGCGGACTACATGGAGAAGAGCCAGCAGGAGGCGGACGGCGCCAGCGAGGACCGGTTCATCGCGATGCTGACGATCCCGAGCGTGGGCATCCGTCCGTACGCGATCGGGTCCCGCGAGGCGGCGTGCGGCATCATCGACCGCGGGCGGAAGGGGTACATCACCCGGGGGGACCTCGAGCGCATCACGCTGGCCATGGGGGAGCGCTTCACCCGCGCGGAGATCACCGACATGATGAGGGCGATCGACGGAGACCCCGCGACCGAGTCGCGGCGAATCACGTACGGGGAGATGGTGGAGACGGTGCCGCCGCTGTGCCCGCCGAAGAAGATCAAGGCCGGCCAGACCCTGTACAAGGAAGGGCAGCTGGACCCCACCTTCTACCTGCTGATGAAGGGCGTGGTGGAGTTCTCGGTTTGCTCCCTCCAGGAGCAGGCTGGGCTGCAGCGGCAGCTTCCCGGTGAGAATGAAAGCGTCACGTGCTTGTTTTTTTTGTCGAGGGCGAATGCGCGCTCGATCTCTCTCCTCTCGTCTGCGGTCGGTGTTGATTGTTGCATGTGAAGGGATTTTTCGCTCACAGCAGTATCTATACAGCCTTTCTTCCTTAAACACGGTGATATTCCGCTGAGTGTGGGTGCTCCTCCGTCTCCGGCCAGCGTCCGATCTTCGAGACAAGCCGTGGGGCGTGGCCATCGCCCGTTTTGTCGGGTTGTACCCGCACTGACTCCATTGTGGCAGATGGTTTTGGCATGTATATCGCCGGCTTCACTGAAACATAAACAAAGAAAATGGTCGAAAAAACAGGAGCTGCGTTTCTTATGATTTTGGCAAATATATCGCCGGCCCTACTGAACAAAAACATATCCCAAAAATGATGGAATTACAGGAGCTTCGTTTGGCGAGGTGGAGCTGCTTCGGTCGGATGAGCTCTCGACGCCGAGGCTGGCCACGTGCACGTGCGTCGGGCAGCCGAGCGGGGGCGACTGCGAGGTGCTGGTGGTGACGGAGCACATGTTCGACCTCTTGACGGACACATTCCAGGGCGTGCGCGCGGGCCTCGATCTCCAGGTTTGTGTGGGTTTAGTTTGATTGGTTTGGGCGGTGCTTGGAACCGGAAACGGAACGGAAACGGAACGGAAACAGCGCTGGCGGCTTGGCGGTGCTTGTTGTTGGTTTGGACGAATTCGAAGGCCGCCGTAGCCCCCCCCCCATATTCGCACCTCCTATGCTAGCCCGTGAATGCTTTGCAGAGATATTGCGGCTGGGCCTGGGACGTGGATCAAGGTGTAAGCTGTTGGGTATTTAATACATACCTCATCTGGTAATTGTGTGTGGCATGTCCTTTCACTGTCGAGGAGAAATGTGTCGACATGGTTTTCATCAAATGCCGCATACGTACCAAACCAGTTTTTGTCGAGGATGCTTCCTGGATCCCTTCCTTCGCGCAACGGCCAGGGCCGACAAGACCGAGAAACCGTGCGTATCGCAGGTCGTGCGCCTGTCTACTCTGCGGCGCACGCGTGTCCGCTTCCGTCCGGTAGCCTTGTGAGGTCACCACTAAAAAGTCTTTCGCGGGTCTCTTATTTGTCGTTTTCGCGTTTCTGCGTCACGCCGCAACCATCCAAATTGGAACACGCTATCAGCGGGAGGTGCGGCTGACCCAGCTGGCGGAAGCGGTGCTCTCCAAGGTTTTCCAGGGCGAGGAGGCGACCTTCGGCGAAGAGGACGTGGTCTGGGGCCAGGACGGCAAGGAGACGGCCGGGGAGTGGAAGAAGGTCGTGCCGGTGCAGGGGCCGCTGCCCCCCCTCTGGAAGAGGAAGGAGCCGAAGAACCCGCCCCCGATCCCGGTGCCGCCCGTGTCTCGGCCCTCTCGCCTCACGCCACCACCACCGTCTTACTCTTCTTCTTCTTCTTCTTCGTCTTCTTCTTCGTCTTCTCCTTCGTCTTCGTCTTCTTCTTCTTCTTCTTCTTCGCCGCCCCCGTCCTCTTCTCCCGAGGCAGCGGTTGACGGGCAGGGTAAGGGCCACGCGGAGGCGGCGGCTGGGGGGACGGGGGCGATGGCGAGCTCTGGCGGCGATGGTAGTCCGCCCGCCCGATCGGGGATCGTCAACCTCGGGGCGCGGAGCGTCACCACCTGCGGCAGACCAGCCGTCGCGAACAGAGGCAGCGGCAAGCCGGCGAAGGAGGACTCCGACGCTGCTGCCGCCGCCGCCGCCGCCGCCGCCGCCCCCGCCGCTGCTTCGGCGGCAGCGAACGCCGCCGGCGCGGCGGGCGGCGACGACTCCTACGACGACGGCGGCGTGGACAACGAGGGATCGTTCGTGCTGCTGGTGTTGGAAGGCTCCATCACCGCCGAGTACGGCCTCGAGGAAGCCGGCAAGGCGAACGGCCGGGCCTGGAGGGAGGTCGGCGGGCAAGGAGCCCGAAGGGGGGGCGACGGCAGGACGCCCACGCGGAAGGTTTGCCCGCGGCACAGAAAGGACCGCGTGGTGGGGAAAGGTACGTACGGGGACCCTTCGCTGTGTGTGCCGAAATCTTGTCATGGACTTGCTTGTTTTTGACGGGAGTTGAGAGGCCGCTTTTGAGTGGGGGCATGATGCCATGAGGAAGTCGGAAAGGCGCAACTCTACTCCCGAGTGCACGGCAGAGCAGGCAAACGATATATGTAAACGAAACAACGAGCTTGGTCGCCTGCAATGCCCAGAAAAAAGAGCACCTGGAAGGAATGGCCGTGCACCAGAAGCACTTTTCTGTTGTTCACGGGGCAGATGAAAGCGCCTACGATGGTGCATCGTCTAGCAGTATACATTGAGAAAATGCTCTTCCCCCCCGTCCGCCAGTTTTATGCCTTCAAGTAGACCCCTGTCGCAGCGATATAGTTTGTTGTTTCGCCGTTGTCCCCCCGGGTCGCGCTAGTTAACCTTGTCGTGGCGTCCACCGCCGATGCAGGTGACTTCTTGTTCTGCGGTAAGGGTTTCGGAGACGGTGATCCGGTGTCGCCGAAGGTGGTGTCGTGCAAGCCGGGGCAGACGGCCAAGGTTTTGCGGGTGAGCTTTTTTGTTGTTTTTTTTCCCCTTCATGTGTCCTGCAAGATGTCCAAGACATCAAATGTACAGCACGTGATTGCACCGCACCTGTTATGTACACAATAGAAGGGGAGGGCCTAGCCACAAGTTGGCACAACATGCCGTGTGAGATTGGCTGGGTTCCAGTTGGGGTGCGGGGTGCGGGGGGGCGACGTTTTTTATTTTTTGGCTGTTTATGGGGGGTGTGCGATGTGGCCGATTTCGTGTGGTACGCGCCTTGCGTGGGGGACCCGTCGTATGTCACCAGTATCTGCTTGGTGGATGATGTTCGCTCGATTTGGTGCGGTGTGACTTTTTCGTGACCAAGAAGGCCAACAGCTTCCAGGGCTGGCTTTGACAAGTCCGAGAGTGTGTGGTGCAGGACTCGTAGATATGTTTTTTGATGTTGATTTTTTGTTCACCACCCCGCCGCAAACTCAAGAATGATGGCCAGCTTCTGGTGAACGTGGACTAGGCCGCCGAAAGCCGGCATATCGATTCGTCCGGGCATTGTAGGGACGCGGGGTCTATGGGCTACCGACGACCACGGCATACGTTTACCTGACTACCCCGCCCCCGCCCTCGCCCCCGCCCTGTCCTTTCCGGAACCCCCCATTGGTCTCTACTCGCGAAAGGTTCGCGCGAAGGATTTCGCTCCAAGGATGGCAATTAGAAACATGGTCTCGCTCAAGGAGTACATGTTCGCCAAGTAATTTTGGTGTCGGTTTTGTTTTCTGGCGGTGTCACGATGACTGTTTTTTTTTTTCCGATCTTCTCTCCGGCAGAAGAGAGGGGACGTGAGGCCGCACGATTTTGGGGGGAGAGTGTCGGCAGTGGTGATGTGCTGGTGGTGATGCCATACAGATGCGCTCTGTGCACTCGCGCGCGCAACACTCCCGTATACCCCCTCTTGAGATACTTGCGTGCGAAGGTGGTCAATTTGTTGTGTTCGGTTTTTGACGAAGGCAGAGTGAAATGAAGTAACCAAAGGACGCAAGATTCGGGGTGGTATCGAGTACCCTCTGCTTTGTTGTTCTTCTAGACCAAGAGTGAAATGAAACCCAACTGCGGGATTTGTTTTTTTTCGCTGCTGCTTCGATAGTAAAGCTTGCTTGTGCTTGCGAGGGTGGCGAGAAACGACCGGGGCTCGCGCTCGATAAGAATGATCGGGCTCACCCCCCAAGCACCACCACACAGCAGGGACAAAAAAGCAAGAGATGCCAACAGCGCTTCACGTAAAGAATCGATGCAGCCGATTCGATGAGATATCGACCGACAGACAATGTACCTGGCTAGCGGTGAAGGTGCGTGTGTGTGTGTGTTTACTCAATAGCCGAACACGGCGTTGCCGTTAGACCGTTGACCTCACACCCCTATAAAGTCGGGAAGGAACACGCGAGGTTTTCGCAGTGGGGGAACTTTGGGACCATAGAGCGAGAGCTCGCAGATGCCCACCACTCTGGTCAAGAATTATAAACGCCGCGTTAGGAGATATTGCGGCCTAGCTTCCACTGGCTGATGATCTTTTTTAAACGGTATTAACTGCAGTGAGTTGCTTGCGGGGTAAATCAACAGTCAGTAGACGGAGGTCGCCGCGCGCAAAGTTCTTCATCGGGGCCTTCAGGCGGGAGGCAGCATGTACGTGTAGCGTCAAAGTGTTTGGACATCCGCCAAAGAGGATCCAACGGTGGGGCTCGAAGCGCCGGGATTGCGGAGCTTCTCAAGAGGCAGCAACTACTACGTGGTGCTGCGCAAAAAGGGGCGATTTCAGCTGAGAGAGCTGTCTCGGAGCAACCGATGGACAATGGATCGCGGGGTCCGAACGCCGCTGGCGTTGTGTCTCCTGATCTGTGTAACAGGCTTACTTACCGGAAAACGCCTCCTCGTCACCCTGATAGGGTTTCCCCCCCTCTTCCCCCCCCGCAAAAGGCTCTTCTTGTGCTTTTATTTCAGGCTAGAAGAAGAGCTATATGTTGTAGCGTCACTGCAGTAACACCTTCAGATTCTTGTGTATTGAGCTTTTGTATTGCCGTTTGCACGTATGCGGGGCTTGCTGTGTACTCCCCATTGCTCTTTTTTTTTTTTTTGTGGTGTGTTTTGTCGACCTCGCCGGTTGTGGCATTTATTTGTATGTTTTGTGCCGCCAGGCATTTTCCTTTTTCTTATGTCAGTCGGTCCGGTTGCGAGACTGACATCAAGATATATCTTGACAGTTTTGACACGGCTGCTTTTGGCAGAGAGAGGGTGATTGGAAGAAGCTGGAGGGTGGCAGGCTTTTCGCTTCATTTTTTGGGGGCGTGGGGGCAAGGACGGGGAGGGGGGTATCTCTAGTGTTGTAAGGTACGTCGTGTTGCTGTGCGCGTCGTTGTTTGTTCCAGCAACTATGTTATCTCCCGAAAGCAATGCACATAATCTTTTGGCTTTGAGGTATCTCACTGGTTCCTCACATAGCTTACCAACAAAGAGAGACCTCTGAGACCTTAGTCCTCATCACTGCCAAGACCCCTCCATGATTTGTCTCTACCGCACATAACAGCAGTGTCCAAGAGAAGTGTTGACCCTCTCATTTGGGACGACTGACGGTAGCTCTTTTTTTTTTTTTTTCGGGAACACAAGAAGAAGCGTTTGCCACAGAAGTTGTCGAGTATTGTTCTTCTCGTGTCGTCTTTGCATCGTCTCCGTGGCAGAGCTCGCCGCTACCCATAACGCGTTGCGCTCCTTTTGAGTGGGGAAATCGCGTAGAGAGTCCCTTCGTGGGAACGGGGCGGGCGGTTGGTTGATGACGAGATCCGCTCCCAGGCACAAGGGTTCTTCTTCATTGTTCTTACAAATACTCAACCTCAGAAATACGACATCAAGACGAAGTCAGGGCGGGACCACCGGCCGAAGCTCACGATGCCTCGCCAAATCCATCACTTGCGCACAGCAGTGCATAAGATTGCTCATGTGCTGCTGAACACGGAATCGTTATATTTTGTTCTTTCTCTTTGGTTCGATGTTCGATGAGGTTCGCTGGGCTGTTCGACTCAGTAACACATGTCCATTTTGTGAGCTTGGGAGAAACGTCACACCGCAGAGAGCTGGTCCTTGCTTTTATTGTTGTCTTTAGCATCATCATCCCCATTGGTAACACTGCGCTCTCATGAGCCCACTCCGTAGGGATCACTTGTAGAATGCACACGCATAGATTGATGCGCGGAGAGCTGAGAACTGAGAACAAAGGAACGAATCGCTGCAGCAAGCTGCGGCGCAACTATTTAAGGTGCGAACGTTATTGGCGAAGAAGTAGATTTCTTGCTGCACCACTGCACCACTGATGCTGCTTAGACTATTGTGGAAACTGCACTCTACTGCTGTCATGCGCGTTTTCACGGTTCACGAATCTACGGTTGGATACTCGCCTCTCTGTGTTCCGTCCGTGCTGCTATGCGAGTCTCCAAGTGTAGAAGTACAACGCAAGGCAAGATATGGGTGGACAAATGATTATTCGAATCTTCTTACACTAAATATACCGGACCAGGCAAGGGCAGTTTGCGGGTGGGGAGCGCCGGAGGGGAGGCGGGGGGGCTGCTTCCTGCTCTGCGGGTGCGGCTGTCCGCTGTTGCCCCTTCGCCGGCCCATGTTGCCCCCTCGCCGGCCCTTCAGTTGCCCCCCATCAATGCACTGCTGCTGCTGTTGTGGGAGAGAAGGAGACTGAAAACGGCCAACCGGGGCTCATATCTACAACAGACCAGGGTAGTTTGTACCACAGGTGCGATATGCGGAGCGTTTTGGCGTCATGGTCCGCTGTGGTCCTCGCGATCACCAGCAGCTCTCGGCACTGGGTCGCTGTGAGTTGCGACGACGACCTCGCTCCGGGCCGACGGCTCTCCTCCCGGACACGGTACTCGAGGTCCGAATTGAGGAAGACCGATCGCGGCCTGGTAGATGGACACAAGCTGCAGCTGGAGCACAACGCCATGGCGTGGAAGGAGGAGGACCCGGCCATCCTCTATAGCGGCAAAACCACCTACTCAGTCATCATAGTTGAGAGGTTACACCACACCTCGAACTTGATCCGGGACAAGGAACGGGTGCGAGCCTTCGAAGACGGCAACACCACGGTGGTGTCGATGCAGTTTGCGGACACTCTTCTTCGAGCGTACGACGACTCGGCCCCTCCTTTCTTCGTCGGGCACCCGGCGGAAGGGGTGGACAAGAGGGTGCGGCTTGTCTACCTCAAGGAATTCTGGAACAAAATCAACGACAATCAGGTACACAGCACAGCAGTATTTGTACACATGTTCAGCAAAGGCATCCCTGTGCTGGCGAGGACAACAGCTGTTTGTATTCCAAGAGGAAACCTGTTAGGTTGCGTGATGTGGCGACCATGCGCGATCGTCGGTTCTCTAGACTACATGTCTACTGTAGGTAGGTCCGTACATCGCATGTTTGCGATTTTTTTTAAGAGCACACTCACTCGGGAATGTATGCATTACTCTATCACTACAGAGTAGTCTACAATTGTTCCGCTGTAGCACAAGGACGCACGTGCGGATGGAGGAGTATTGTAGTTTATGATGCTGCGGTATCGAAATTCTCATATCTTACCGCCGTAGCATACATTAGAGCACATTGACGACACAGACAGGCGACCCAAAGGGCGATTTATTCTGCAGCACGCAGTTTTCTTGGGTGGGACCTCATTCATGCAGCAGGCAAAAAATATTCGACATGTACATTTTAGTTATGTACCGCTTCCTCCCGCCAAAGTCGTTGCCGCCGAAAACCGCAATGGTACACCGTCCACTTCCCAAACAATATACCGTCGATAACGTGTCAAGAAAACGTTATGGAGTAAATAAGCCCGAAATCTTACTATACGTACGCATAGTCTGTGCTACTCCTGTTTGAAGTCGTTGGGAATAGGGCATCTATACCAGTAGCTCGTCAGCAGTATCGCCATCTGCAAAACCATCTGGCGTGCGTTGCGCGGATTCGGGTATTGTCGACGGAATGGGATCACAAGGAGAGAACAACCTGCATCGTCTGCTGCAAAACTGAAGACCTGCGGGGAACGAACGAACGGCAGCAAGCGAGCATGCAAGAACAGCAGTGCGTTCTCGACCAATCAACTGCCACGCGCTGTTTTTGTTTCTCTCCTGTATCTGTCATTGTTATTTTTAGCATCGACCGTGCAAACCGGCTGACCAAGGAAAATCCGTCAGTCTTGTGCGGCTGAAAACACAAAATGCTTTTAAGGCCACGATCTGGGACCCCGTGAGGGGGCGTCATGGGGGAGGCTATGCTACTCTCCGGGTTAAAGACAGATACCGTACCAGTCACAGAAGAAACTACTTGTATTGTGTGTGTTCCAGGCGTCTCACCTGCAGGCCTCTTGCGAGGATCCGACGGAGACGACAGTGCTCGTCATTTCCGACGAGACGTGCGAGCTGCCCGAGCTCCCGCCGGGGCTACCGCCTTCATGCCGGGCCAACGTCGTTCGCGTGTTTCCCTTCAACAAGCCCAGGTTAGGTTTGACCTGCTGTGAAATAACATTGGTGGCGCGGACTGACTTCACTACTACTGTGTCTCTGGAAAATAACTATGTGAGGGAACGTTTGGTGGGATGCAGCCTGCCTAGATATGAATGGTCGAAGATTTCTTGTTGTCACCCCAAGGAAGCCAAGCTGATCGTTGGGAGGCACCCACCCACACCTCCACTCATACCACCAACCTGATGCAGCACTTGTCCATACAGGCGTACACGTACGCTCGCACTAGCACCCACTATGCTGTTTTCCGTTCGACCACATGCGCAGAAAATTTCGCACGCACTTTCTTGTCAATTCCACCAACCCTACTCGGCGGTACCGTGCAATTTTGGTTGAACGCCTTGTTCTTTCCTCCCGACCACGGTTGTTTTACATGAAGAACGGATGGCTTGCCGAGGAACGCCTTTTTGCCACTGGGTCCGCGAGACACGTTCCCTTTCGTCAGCGAAGACCGGCGACCGCTCGCTTCAAGCAGATCGCTGCTTTTCAACTTGCAGGTGCGTCGTGTGGTGTCTTGTTGTTGCGTGGAAAATGTTAACTTCTCATGTATCACGGCTTCCTTGCTCTTCGGAGAGAGAGAGAGAGAGAGAGAGAGAGAGAGAGAGAGAGAGAGAGAGAGAGAGAGAGAGAGAGAGAGAGAGAGAGAGAGAGAGAGAGAGCCAGCATTATTCATGCGTACAGGGATCGTATACCGCATTGATCAGCCACGTTCGTTTTGTCGACCATGGACTCTTTCGTGTTCGGGAATGTATTGATAATATTCTGAGAGGGTACTACTCCTAACACTATGGCATCTAGACTTCATGTCTTGCACCCTTCCTGGCCCTGTCGCCGAGAATGACGGCGGTTTCAGCAGCCATCGGTCGTCGCCAATCCCTTTGAAAATCGACCATCGCCCTGCACAACCATCACCATGCGGTCCACGCGTGAATCGCTGACCAAGCAGGTCAGGCCCGACACGTCAGACAGGAGGGCAGAGCTCGTGGACATCGCCAGTCAATACGAGTCGGACAACCCAGACCTGGAGTGCGCCACCAATAGGCCGCACATCAACCCGAAAGAGTGGCAGGACCTGGTGCTCGACTCGAAGTTCACCATTTGTCCCGCGGGGCGCAACCCCGGAACCTTTCGCCTGTGGGAAGCCTTGGAGGGCGGGTGAGCATCCGTGCCGTTTTCGTTGTTGTTTGTCATCATGATGTCGTGTCGCTCGCAGTTGCTACCCCCCTGTGTTTGCAATCCCCGCTTCAGCTGAGGAAGATTCAGTCACCCTCCGCGGGGCTCCCGACGCGAAAAAATCTGTCCACCATGTTACATGGTGGGGTGAGAGCGGAATAGCTCGATGTGCGTAACATGTAGGTTGCCCCGAGGTCGTTGTTGTTATCATATTTTTCATCGCAACCAGATGTGGAAGCTAGCTCGTTGTGTTTCTCCCGAAACCATGCCCGCCCCGCGGATGCGTGGTTAGTCAGCACCTTCCATGTGATGGGTCCCCCTACATTGCCATGCAACAAGGCCGGGAAAGTGGGATCCCCGACGTCCTACCCCGAAGCAGGATGAGTTAACCGTCGGAGGAGAGAGGAGGGCCCACGCTGCATACTTTATATACTATGATCAGGGGGCGTATGGTCGTCATCTTAACGGGGGCAGTAGTTTTCTGCCCCAACGGGGACCCCCATTCAAACTCCTACATAAACGACTCTTGGATAACCAGCACGAAAATAGGGAGTCGGGGGACAACGACATCTGAGATTCCGGGCTCTCTTGTGCGTTGCACCACGACGACGTGTCGAATTTGGTTACTCGCTGCATGTCTTTGGTTTTTGGGTGAACTCGCCTGACGCAAGAAATAGGACTGTAGAAACGCGTGTCGGAGGAATGACACAAGTCCTCATCGCGTGAGAGTTCATCAACCTGCCAGAGCACACCAACGGTCACAACAAAGCTTCCTGTGCTGAGTAGATGGGAAAAGAAGAAGAGCCTGTTGGTGCTGACTAGTCCGAGGTGCGCGTTTCGTGGACAGGTCGATACCTATCGTATCGAAGCTGGACTTCACGCAGCCGGCGTTGGGTGCTCTGTCCACCCAGACCTGCGGAGACGGCGACGTCGCTTGGAATATAGTGGCCGCTTCTCCTTTCGTAGAGGCGGTCTCGGTGAACGACTGGCACGAGCTGCCGGCCCTCCTCGACAGACTGCGGCAGGAACCGGACGACTACATCAACAAGCTTCAGGTATATAGGGTGGCTCGAGTCGTGGTAGATCGTTGACGTTTGGTGAACGCTGCTGGGTCTGATGTGGAGGATGCCGACGGTTGCATGGGGGTGACTTCGATTTTGTTTTTGCGTACAAAAGGCTTTACCGTTTTGATTGATATATATGTAGACGTTTGGAGCAGTTGTGGTATTATTATGGCGAGGGGTGCAAATAGGAGTGTCGGTGGATGAAGGCTGGCAGGCGCTCCAATTGTGACAGGAATTACATTGTTTTCTGAGAGTCCTCGACCTCGCCGTTGGGTGCTCGCAATCGCCTCGATCTTCTACGTTCTGTAATTGTTTGCCTTGTCTACTGAGAATTGGTCAAAGGATTTGCGAAGACTTCATGTATTTGCTGGCTACTCTCCTGTATTTTCTGGGTCAACACCGCCGCAAAACGTTCGACCGTTAGTCCCTAGTCGAGGCCGAAATGACCGTTGCGGTGTGTATCGTTGTGTATCTCTTTTTGTGTCTCTGTGTACCTGTCTCGCCCCTTCTTGCTCTCTATCCCCGCTCGCCGTCTTTTTTCTCTCACTCTGAAGACGATCGGTCACTCGCTCGGGAGATAGCTTATATGCCCCCACCGCCTAAGAAACATCGTTCAAAAGGCAATCGCGGTAGACGTTACATAGTGGAGCAAATACCCTTACGGCGAGGCGGACCTTCTTCCCAATCTCTTCCGCACCCCTTCGCGCCCCCGCCCTGTAAGGGTTTCGGCGGACTCGATCGTGTTATTGTAAACTGCATCCTGTCAAGCGGTTCATTTTTCAAACGTTTAGCGCGGCCGATGCCAACGATAGAGACGCACGCACACTCATCCGGCGTGGTTGGGCGTCGCTTCCCGCAAGTGTCCACTGGACGGCACCCAATCGACACTATTCGGTTGTACTTTGGACCTCGCATACATAGGCACCAACAACGGCTGTATGACAAGCTGAAAGGTTGCTGCGGTTCTTATCAACCCCTCCCTTTTCTCAGGAGGATTGCGTGGCGTGGCACGCTTCGGCGATGACGCAGACGTATACAAGCGTGCTCAACTTCGGCGAAGGGCACGACCTTTTCCCCCAAGACGGGCCACTCTTCGGCAGCGTTTAGGGAGACTAGTCATTTTAGAGCCCTCAATCCATCCATTCATTCACCGCTTTCCCGTAGACAACGGGTGTGTTCATGTCAAGCGGAATCAATGTGCGGAAGAGGTTTTGCTGGTGAAAGTTTCTACGCAAGTGCGGTCCGTTGTATCTTCCATATGTAAATTCATGATCGGACCAAAGTTACGTTGGTTTTCAACGTCGAGTTAGCCTTGGCATTGGTTGTTGCCGTGTGTGAGGCGTAGATACGAAATTGCTCATCTTCACGTTGCCGGCTTGCACAGTATCCCGTGGTTTTGTAGGCGTTGATGGCGATAATGCAGTCGTGTGCGCTATACGTGCTGGTGGTACTTGTAAGTACCGGAGCAAATATTCTACCAGTACATACCGACTGCTCAAACGACCTCATGGTCCTACAGAGAGAGGAAGTTGTCCACGCGTTAGTTGAGTCTAGGTTAAAGTCGGCCTATTCTTTGGTCTATAAGAGTATTAGACTATTCGTCAAAACCCGTATCACGGGTGAATGTACATTTAGACTTTGCGTCAATGGAGATTGGCCATCATCGCTTTCCCCACCGATCTTTCTCGCCCTTATGTCGGTCTGTCCCTCCATAATGGGGAGCCTGCGCCGCGAGGTGAGGGCATCGTTCACTTGGTTCGGTGTCCTACCGTAATATAGCCCAATGCACTGGAGCCCCTAACAGGTACAAACCCCGTTCTACAGTACTACTACTGCTGCTGTAGTTTTCTATTTGTTGGAGGTGTTAACCCTGAGGGCGTCCCGTTATCTATCTCCTTCGTTGTAGAGGCTCAGCCCCTCGGCGGTGTCTATTTGTGTGTTTGTCAAAGTCTTTTTCATGACCTTCTTTTGGGGTTAGTTGTCGGTTCGAGACAGTGCGTTACTGAAGATCGTCGGTTGGAGGCTTTTGACATCGATCGGCGTCGTGTTCTCTGTACTTGTGGTAGTTTTTAATTCAGCATCGTACCATCACGGGGCTGTTGAAGGCAGAGGACCGTGGAGCCGTGGAGGCTCTGCTACCTGCTTGGCGCGTGCATGACGTTGTTGCCGCACAAAAGTCATTGCCGGGGTAGAACAACGTGGAATCAACCGGCTGCTGAACAGAACAGATACAACATGATCTCGCGATTACCGCAACCAACCCTTGATACCAAACTCAGGGCCCTACGAGGCTCGGGCTCGTGTCTCCGCCGTCGTTGTCACTAGGTCGTATTTGGCGTGGTCTAAGCCCACCGGCGGGCCTCGGCTGGACCACCCCAAGCCACAGGGCTACAGGTCAGAGGCGCCCTTGACCGCAAGTTGCTTGTGACAGGATCTCCGTGTTCAGATCTCCGTAGATCTTATTTTTTGTTCTGCAAGAATGGTATTAGAAAAATTATTAGACCATCTGACCAGTCAGTCAGATGGTCAAATTTTATCTAATCAATAATCGAGTTGGTGAACCTGGAACGTTTCATACCAGCGGGCGACTCCTCTTCGGGCAGCACTACCTCATGTCGTGTAGCTGCAGCTGAAAACCAGCCAGCGGAACTTGTTCTTAGTTCAACGGACAGCTGCGATTATGCGAGCGCGATTGTGGTCCGTTTTTGTTCTTGGGGTCATCATCTCCCTCCACCATTGGAACGCTGCTGCGAGTTCGGATGACCCTGCTGCTGCTGTTGCCGCTGAACGGACCCCCCAGAATGTCCATTCCGATCGGGGCTTGAGACGCATTGATCCGCTCGAGCTGCGGCGGCAGCACGCGGCCATGGCGTGGAAGGAGGAGGACGAACGCATCCTCTTCGGCAGCAAGACCAGGTACTCCGTCATCGTGGTCGAGGTGGAGCATCACACGTCGAACCTGGCTCGAGAGAAGGAGAGAGTGAGAGCCTTCGAGGACAGCACCAACACCGCGGTGGTGTCGGTGCAGTTTGCAAATCCCTGCCCGCACGCACCGATAACGGAGGGCTCGGCCGCTCCTTTCTTCGTGAGTCACCCGGAGGGAGACGAAGAAGCGGCAGTGGACAAGAAAGTGCGGGTAGTGCATCTGAAGGACATCGGGACGCACGTCAAACCCTATCAGGTGTGGGTAGTCAAGGAAGGCAATTTGTACAGGCTGCTGAGAGAGACACCACACATACATGTGCCACGACGACGAGACTACTGCTACTATACTGCTGCTGTGGCTCAACTAATGTACGATCTACACGCTTTGTGTCGTCTAGCGAACGCGCCCCGTTGCTCATCGACGTACGGTTAACATCTACTACTTCCCCTCCAAAGGGTGCGTACCATGCGTACTCTGCATGCCGGAGTATGTACCCATGAGGGGTTGCATACTTTGTTGGACATTGCTCTTCGAACTAAGGAATAATAAAAACACACACAGAAAGACTACCCATTCGAGATATACCCACAGTAGAACGGGATGTGGTGGAGTAAGAAGGCCCCCCCGCCTTCAGGGGGTTAGGATTCCATCCTCTTTATTTTTTGTTTGCCTTGGTCCTCCGCACCGTTGGAAAGACACTCACGTGGTCGTTGTCTATGATGCAATAGCACGCTTTTCTTTTATTGGCTTGCGGAGTCTTCGGGTCCGTGTACCTTTGTGGCGAAAGTCCTGTGACCACGAGAATCGACCCCGTCAAGTGTTAGACTAAATAGTACGGACAGAAGAAGGTATTACTGAGCAGAGAGAACGGAACGGTTTTTAATGTGAAGACAACAACAACAACATGCTTTCCTTGGCAGATACAACCAACAACAGTTCAACAGAGGACGGAGTAACCGAGTTCTGGGCGTATTCCGCCTTCCGCACACGGTGTGAGATTGCCAACCGGAGTCTGCCCGATGTAATTTTCTCAACTATTTCCCACCAACAGCAGGACCCGTCCTCGAAGAATTAGCCCGATTAGTTAGCCCGATCAGGTATGCTGCCGAAGGCGGCGCACCTCAGGCTTGTGGACAAGTTGAGGCAAAAATTGAGGTATTGCCTGAGACATAAAATTCCATGCCTGTGACATGTCTGAAATGCTATAGCAGCAAAAAGACATGGCGGCTACACCGAGTTCGCGCCCGCATTAAGAAGAAGATTTGGCCGGCCGAGGTTGGGTTCTTGGTTCCTACGGACATGCTACAGCAGTGTACGAATGGCCGCTATATTGTAGTTCAAGAAGGTTGTAGTTGTGGGGTTCTTATCCGAGCTCACAAATGGTGCTCATGTTCTTAGGTTTTTAATTTTTCGAGGCTATATCAAAAAAATTTCATGAACCGCCGAAGTTATTTCTGTGCGGGCGCTAGCTGTCTGTGGTTGTACTGGGAAATTTTCAAATGCACATCTAATGATATTTTGAGTGGTTCGCCCCTTTTTCGTCAGTGGTCTCCGCTAAGCAGTAGCCTTTTGTCGAGAGAGGGGTGGGTATATGGGTACCCGCTCTTGTCTGTTTCCCTAGGAGCAGCTTGTTCTTCGGATTTGAATATCAACGGCGGGGTCGATGTTTGGTTTCGACAATCTCTTTACCTACGGGCTGGCTCACTCTTATCCTGTACCTGAGTACGTATTGCTGTACCTGAGTTTGGACTGTAACTCGATGCAGTAGCGGGTGGTACTTATTTGCATTGAAAGAGTGGGAAGTGGGTGGTACTGGGTAGAGGTAAGAACGTTTTCAATGGCCCTTTTCAATTTGAAGGCAATCAATATCCCTCATGCAACGGAAGGTGCACCAATTGCTTCTTAAATCTCTCAAAGCGAAAAGCTCGATATAATTCAGCCTGGAACGGACACTGACACAAATGAACGTACTACGCGATAAGCAATCCGATGAGCTAGCTGGATGAGCCACAACTAAAATTCGAAATCGACATTTGATGGTAGAAAAGTATGGGTTGGTTTCTCATCTGAGGAACCCGAATTCGAGAAGATTCGGGGCCCTGGTTGCAGTCATTCCTACCGTTGTGTACAACGACAACAGCAGCAGCGATATCTGTCAACGTTTCGCGCTCGTGTTTTTTGCGATTGGGGGTCGTCGTGTGTGGTTCCAGGCGTCTCACCTGCAGGCCTCCTGCGAGGACCCGACGGAGACGACAGTGCTCATCATCTCCGACGAGACTTGCAGGACGTCCGGCCTCCCCGTGGGGATACCGCCCTCGTGCCGGTCCAACGTCGTTCGGGCGTTTCCCTTCAACCAGGACAGGTTAGGTTGTCCTGCTGCGTAGCGTATCTCTTTGCCGGATGAGTGCAGTCTTTTGTGAATTGCGGTGTGTGTACTGTACTGACGCCACAAGAAACGGGTGCAGAAAGTCAAAAGCCACGAGTCTTCTTGCTTGCTCCCCACTTCTCTGGCCCTCGTGCTCTAGTTGGTTTCATTCACCGCAACGGAGGAGTGCGCCTCTCTCTCTCCCTCTGTCTGTCTGTCTGTCTGTCTGTCTGTCTGTCTGTCTGTCTGTCTGTCTGTCTCTGTCTGTCTGTCTGTCTCTATCTCTATGTTTGTCTGTCTCTCTCTCCCTCCCACTCCTTTTTCTCGCCCTACCCGGCCCTTCCTGTTGCTCTCTCTTGGAGACCAAATGTTCTTGGCGAGTGGCGGAGACGCTGCCGTTTGTTTCTTGTTTTCGCGTGTACCCTGTTTCGGGATATGACTTCCTTGTCACCGATTCAAGTGTCGTATTTGCCTCTAGGGGGATGGTGGAGATAGGTAGCACACCTATGTTCATGCTAAATGTGAATTGAAGTGTGTACATGACAATAGCAACACTTACGTTGTTGTCAAGAGGACGGTAGTGCCACAATTCGAAAGGCAAGGGTATGGAGTCGCGATCTTTGATCGATGGCCTTTACTGTCGCAAGTTGTGCTGAGCCGTTGCTCGAAATGTAGTGGGGCAAGCGCCGACCGTTTTCACATGTCAAGGATAAGATGAACTCACGAGTTCATCGTCGTCAACCCCAAGGCAAGCTGATGGTTGAAGGCACCCACCCACCCACCCACCCACCCACCAACCCACCAGCTACCAATCTGCGCAGGAGCGTGTTAACCGATGCCGCTTGTTGCCCTCCTCACAAACGAGTGCAAAAGGTACCAGCGTGTCAACCAAGTTCCCTCTTGGCAAACGAGTGCAATATATGCCATCCACCTTTGTCAACTAAGCCGCAGGTTGCAGCAGACATGTTTTGCACGCAAAACGGCCAACACATTGCACTCCGTCTTTCCTGCTGTTTCGTTTCCCCCCGAACCACGGTTGTTTTGCCTTGAAGAGCGAACGAAGAGCCGAGGAGGCCGTACTTGCCGCTGGGGCCGCGGGACACTTTCCCCTTCGTGAGCGATGACCGTCGACCTTTGGCTTCAAGCAGATCGTTGTTTTTCAACTTACAGGTGTGCGGTGTGGTGTAGATGTCAACTAATTGTGTATCGCGTCTTGCTTCCGCTTCGGAGAGGGCGAGCGCAAGCATTGTTCAACGTACAGGGATCGTATGCCGCATTTGTCAGCGTCGGGTGGTGTTGTCGCATTGCACTTTCGACTCTTCCAATGTAGTTGTGACGCGCTTTTTCCGCTCCGGAGAGAGACCGCCAGGAGCAAGCTTCCAGAGAAGATACAAATCGCGGTCCCTACACAGTACGGCCCTGACGGGTGCGGGGGCCTGACATAGTGGGGGTCAAATTATCTCGGCGATAGTGCGGGCCCCCCTAGTTGTAGTGCGGGTTGGCCATGTTGGCAGCGATTCCTTCGACTCATCAAACCATCGCCGACCCCTTTTGAGTCATCCACCATCGCCCGAAATAGACGAAACAGCTCCGCGCGCGCCCGAATACCGCTTGCCCAAGCAGGTCAGGCCTGAAACGCAGGGCAGGAGGGGGGAGCTCATAGAGACCGCCAGCATCTACCAGTTGAGCAACCCAGGCCTCGAGTGCGCCACCAACAGGCCGAGCATCAGCAAGACAGCGTGGCAGGAGCTGGTTCTCGACTCGAAGTTCACCCTTTGTCCCGCGGGGCGCAACCCCGAGACGTTTCGCCTGTGGGAGGCCCTGGAGGCCGGGTAAGCATGCAGTGCCACTCGATGTGAACTAGTCTCCGTTATTGTCCGTCACGTGTTTCGTCAAGCTTTTACGTCTTCCGTCGCTTGCAGGTGCTGCCTTCGTATTCAGATGGCAGCACCACTTATGCAGTGATGAACGTGAGCCTGCAAAATCCAAATCTAAGAACTTGTCCTTATGAACATGTGTGTGCTCAGTCAAGAATCCTACAATAAAACCTCGTGGGGGTAGTCTACCCCATAGAAGAAAATAAGAAACGAGTCTCGGCAACAATGAGAGGTTCTTGAGGGTGAGCGCGTTCTGTACACCTGCCGTTCCCTCCTCGCCTGATGAGAGGTCCAAAAAATCACGCTCCGCGCGGGTTGCGGTTTTGAACCAGATGGTGCTGCAGCCTTTACGTGCGTTTAGAGTGGAAGTACATGTAGCTCTGCGCAAACTGCTGTCCCAGAGGACGTTCTCACTGCCACACACAAATCGCTTAGTAAGTACCGATCGGGTCTGCATGCGCTCTCTCTATCGTGTTCGCTGGTCAGGTCGATACCCATCGTTTCGAAGCTTGACTTCACGCATCCGGTGGTGGGCACCAAGTCCAACACCACCTGCGGGGACGGGGACATCGCCTGGAACACGGTGGCCGCTTCTCCCTTCGCGAAGCAGGTCTCGGTGAACAACTGGCTCGAGCTGCCCGACCTTCTAGACCGACTGCAGCGGGAGCCCGACGAGTACATCAACAAGCTCCAGGTACTTACCGCCCCCCAGATCAACAGCAAGTACGTTCATGACGCAAAAACGATGTACCTGAGGTACAGAATCACACACGGACACAGGCTGGGCCTTTGTGTCCAGCCTCTCAGCCTCTTCCATCACAGGCATACAGACGTTGGGACGCATGGGAGTAATGGGGAATACGGAGGAGATGGTGTGGAAGAAAGCAAAAGTTCTGACCCAGATAGTCTTCCACACAGACCAAACGCCGAAGGGACAGTGAACTGCCCATAATATAGCATTAGTATAAGCTATGGGAGTAGTGAACACCAAGAGAATAAATAATAGAACAAACAACAATACGCCGACGGAGCCAGAAAAGACCGCAACAAGTAGAAACCTTTGTACAGCAGTAGACACGTGCGTTGCCCCATCTTGGACCGCGTCTGTTCTTTCATCCGGACCGCAACCTGACCTCCCACCTGACCCCTCCCAGATCATGGCCTTTCCCGTTGTTAGCTTCACCGAGGCGGACGTTGTTTGATTGGTCGCGACCTGTTGGGGCGGTGGATGCTAGATACTGAAACCTCAACATACACAGGTTGGACGAACCAGACGTTCCTTTCAGCACTTCCTTCCCCGACAAGACGTCGCCAAAGCGTCGTCCAAATCAACCCTGTATTATACTTCTATATCTGTATTTTCGACGTTGTGACACACACACCTATCTATTATCTAGATGTATGGCGGAGTAAATGCGCTGGTTGCGTTTCCGGTCAAACCTCTCCCTTCTCGCAGGAGGAGTGTGTGGCGTGGTACTCTATGGCGATGACCCAGACGTACACAAGCCTGCTCAACTTCGGGGAAGGGCACGACCTGTTCCCCCAGGAAGGACCAATCTTCGACAGCCTTTAAAAGCGGGCTAACTCGTCATGGTAGAACAGACACTGGGCGCGCGTTCGTTCGTAGTTTGCGGTTCCGGTTTGTTGAAGAAGATGTGTTAGCACGGAATGTTTACTGCCAGATGCTGAGCAAGAGGTGTTGATACTGAAAGTTTAGTGCCAGGTGTTGAAGAAGAGGTGGTATAAAATACAAGATGCTGAACGAGAGGTGTTGATGCTGAAAGTTTGATGCCAAAGGCAGCGTTGAAGAAGAGGTGTTGATACTGTATGTTTAAATCCGGACATTGAAAAAGAGTGGAGTGTTTAATGTAAGACAATGAACAAGAGGTGGTGATACTCTGTGCTTCACGCAAGATATCGAACAAGAGGTGCTGAAGAGGTGCTGAACGTCCAAAGGCGGTGATCCGTCCCGCATCTTTGCAATGTATGGTCGAAAACCAGTTTCGTTTGATTTGCTGAATTATTTTTAATGCTTGACGTGCTTCAGGCGCATAAAGAATATAGTAGTAGTTCTCATGACGTTGTGCCGTGAGGTGTGCGCATGCATGTTTCCTTGGTGCCACAGCCGTCGACGTGGCGTTTGTGTGTTTGCTAAGCCATGGGGTTGTACAAAAACGGCACATGAACAAAACTAGTGTGTCTAGATAGACTGATCTGTACGAGTTTTCGGGAATTGCGACAGATTGTCCGCGTTTTCCTGACTCAATATCTAGCTTGTATGTCGTCCGTTTTGTTGGTTCGACCTTGTACTTTTAGGTGTGGCATAGTGGTGGCAAAGTAAGATGCCGCCTTGGTAGAATGCCTTCTCCAAAACTTAAGACCGGTCGGTACTGGCTGCACCGACTAGTTGGGTATTCCTTCTACGGATACGGCCAAAACTACAGCCGATTCCGTACGAAGCACCAGCTGGGACGTGAAAATACCTTGATGTACCGCTTGAGATGTCGTGGTCTTTCTCTGCACCGCCTTTGTGGGGGGTGTCTTTTTTTTTTTTGCGGAGGCACGAAGGCACTCACAGGTGTTTGTTTTTCGCCGCCTCCGAACTTGGGCAAAGGGCTGCACTCGTGTTGATGTCTCGCTGGCTGTCCCTACTTCAACATCTGTTCGTTTTTTCGAATTGTTTTTCGCGTGAAGTGGGTCTCTCTTTGATCATCTTTACTATTAGTTACTCCATTGGGTATCGTGCACTCCGTTGAGTTTTTTTTTTGCGATTCGTTCTGGACGAGACGTTTTCTTTCTGCTGTGACAACGGGTGACTAGGACCCTCAGCCACCCCCCACGTCGTCCATAACGCGTCAGAACGCGCGGCGAACCCCGCTTGGGTATGCGGGTTGGGTTTATGGTAGGATCGACGCATGCTTTGCCGATTTCCCCCCCGAAATTGCACATGCAAAATGGTACCTTGAAAATACATGGAAATCCTACTTCGAAGTGAAGCAACCCAGCAACACTTTCATACCTCCACTGCGGAATGTTTGTGGTGCGAACGTCGTTAATGTCCTCGTGAGGGGGGGAGCTAGAGGCGGACGATGTTCGCTCACCTGTGGGTATCTCGTTGCTTGTGAAAAAAACGCCGCCACGCGGCTAAGTACGACCATCTTAAAAAAAAATGCGACTCACTCTTGAGTCCGGCACCAGCTTCGACTTAGGACGCGGCAACCCTCTTTTCGTTACACACAGGTTACACCAGTAGATAGCACTCTGTTTCTCGGTCGGCAGAGCACAACGCGAGGGCGGTCGGCCGTTCATGTCTCAGCCGCAAGCAACGACAATGTGTGCCGGATATTGATGGGGTTGTGGGGTTTTAAATAGGGAGTGCCTTGACCATTCGCTTCAACAGCCAATTTCCACGTCACAACACTTGCCGCACGGCGTAAGCGTAATATTGCGCGGAGGAAGCCGCCTCTGTGAAACCGCATGCCCACCACCTCAACGTCGCGCCTATACAAGTAGTTGAGGAAAATAGCAGCAGCGTTCTTTCTTCCACTGCAGTCGGGTGGTCTGACGTCCATCCACGAAGAGAAAAAAGGAGTGAAATGCTTTGGGTGTCTCCTGCCACAAAGTCGGTCACGTCAGGCAGTGCACCACCGCCGTCCCCAACAATAAAGTGGGCTAAATACACGAAGAGCGTTGGGAGCCCTGGACCTCCCTACTGGTCTTCCTGCTGGCCACTTCTCCACAGGAGCCAGGCGCCAAGATAGACGGTCCTTTTGAAGAATCCGCAACTATCATTTCCTCACCCTCCTTGCAAGTAAAACTGCACCTAACCGTACACAACAACTTTTGAGCCTAGAAACCCATGAAACACAAGGTCAGTACAAAAGACGAGCCTCTCACGAGTCGGTCCAACATGATGTAGTCTTAAGGGTTGTTGAAATTTCGCGCAGCGCAAGACTCTGCCCGTCAGAGTCCGCCCAAAAGCGCAAACGAACTCAAGCGTCCTACTAACGTCGGGAAACGCGTCTCCGCTTGCTGTTCCATCCGAGTTCGCTCGCCCCTTCGATGAAGAGACATCGATTGATTATCCTCGGGTGGTTCTTTCGCGTAAGGAAATGCGGCTGCTGCTTTCGTACGTCCGCTAGGACAGACAGGCGTCGATCTAGGCCGACCTGGTCTTCTAGACCGATCTGGTCTTAGGTACTGATCTGGTCTTAAAGAGTCCGATCTGGTCTTAAGAGTCCCATCTGGTCTTAAGAGCCCGCTCTGGTCTTAGAGAGGTCGATTCGGTCTTAGAGGCCTCCGTCTTCTTCGTTCATCTCGTCCTCGATCTCCTTGGCGAGTTCCTCATCGGTCTTCTCGTCCTCCATCCCGGGACGAGACTTGGCCAGCTCCTGCTTGTAGGCGTTGGGTGGGTAGCGCATCGCTCTCACCGCCTCGTTGTGAACGTCCAGGCAGAACGTGATGCGCTTGTGGAAGGCCTGCGGGACATTTTCAAATGAACGGGCACGCGCGAGAAATCGGTCCGCTGTATGTTCACGTACATGCGCCCAGAGCAAAAACTAATCAAAAGAAGGTGCTGCATGAACGCAAAACACATGGGGACTGGATTGCAAAAACAAAACAACTGAGCAACTCGCAATCACCAATGCGAGGTCACACATGCTATTTGATACTTGTTGCGGGCACGCGAAAGCGGGCTTGCAGGGCCGCCTGCGCCAAGAGACGTACACAGCCATGACGCGAAAACATCCACCAACAAAAGAACCCAAAAAACGTCATGAACTATTCACAAAACGCTCGAGCTTTCACGAGGAGGCACCACGCAGGCACGTTGTTGTGCTCTTCGTTGCCGAGGCACCACGCGGACGACGCAAAATACGTAGTGAACGCCTACATATTTACATCCAAGTACGATCCACTCAGCAGTATCGCGAACAGGCAACGCTGAACTTCGTTCTTGTACAAGGCTGACAGTCGTACCGTTGGCCAGCCAGCTTGAGTGGTCTTTGCTCCAACAACAACACACAAAAAAAACAAAAAAAAAGAGAGATGGACGAAAGCAAGCACCTGTTGCGGCTCGTCCGTGGCGTACACGTCCACGACATCCCGACTCTGTATCCAGCCGTTCTTGTGGTCGATGACCGCGTCGATGACCCCGTCCCTGATGGCCTTCGAGCACACGAACTCCGCACTTTGGACCGTTTCGAGCTTCACCTGCCGTTCGTGCGTTTGTCCAGCACGGGTAATCGCACCCACAACAAGCGAATGAGTGAAAAAAAAAAAAAACAACAACAACAAATGTAACGAGCGTTCCTACAGCGTACTGAATGGAGCCGTGCTCCGCCTCGTGTAAAGGCGATTCGGAAGACTGTATCCGTAGTCGAGGTACGTCTTTCACGGGGAAAAAGGACCACGATCGTTCTACCCCATGTGTTCTGATTTACGCACCTTCGGCGAGGCAACACGCCATCCGGCCTTGATCAGACCGATCGACCGTCAGAAACAAGGACGACACAAAATATTACCCCCGGCTCGAATCAGCAAAACGTCGGTCTACACATGACCAAACCCGGAAGACTAAAACGCCTCCTTCTTCCCAATCTTAGACCAGGCAATGCACGAGACGCCGATGAGCCTGCAAGAAACTTCACTCAACCACGCGTTCCTCGAACTCGAAAAAACCCGCTGTGTGCTGCACCCGTGTGATATATACGAGCAGCGGAAAAGACGCGTGTTTCGGTCTTTGGAGAAAAACATGTCGCGGCATAACCGGAGGGGCACCGCAGTATTGATCGTGCGGACTGACTCAAGAGTGCCGGTGCCCAGTGGACTGACGGTTACATCGTGCGGCGCAAATCGCCGTTGTGTTGGGCACCCGCATAGTATCAGTGCCCGAATACGGTTTCTGGAGGCCTACGCCTGCCTCCTTTATTGAGGGCCTCCGGCTGTAAGTAAGGGGAGGGGGGGGGGGCGTGTACACATAGCCGTGCCTCCCACAGTCGTTAGACCTTTGACCTCGCATCCCTACAAAGCCGGGACGGAATGAGCACGCCAACTTTTCACCGGACCAGGCTAGCACATCACCAAGCGCAAAGCGCCGTAGCAATGGGGTGCACAAAACACTCTACTAGTTTTGCTTACCTTCTCGCACAGGTCTTGGAGGGAAACGCGGGAGTAAGACGAGTTGATTTTGCGGAGCCCCGTCTTGATGACGTTGTGCGCCAACCTCTGGATGAGGGTGTAGGTCTTGTCTGCCCGGAAGGTTGACTCGTGCTGCAGTTGTGGTTTTGATGTGTTTTTTCGGAATTTCGCAGGAGCCGAGATAACAGAGCGAGCAAGCGAGAGACAGAAGAAGAACATATTAAAAAAAGAGCGAAAAAGGGTTGTTGTCGTATGTGCACGTATCAAGTGAAGAAATTATAACAGGCAGAAACGAACATAACACAGAGAAATGAACAAAAAAAAATGCTGCACGTCGACAAAAAAAAAAACTGTCATCAATTGAAGAGGCAGTGTGTCATGTTATGATGCGCACGCGCACAACAGGGCGACAAAACCCAGGGGGGCACACGATGAAACACAACGACAACGCCACGCATGGAAGAAAAAATATTATGCAAACAAGTCGAACGCTTGCAGCGTACAGGTGGATATACACGCGGCTCGCGGTACCAAACGAATGAATCAAAACCCTTCATCTGGAGCCAACGGACACGTGGCTCGAGGGCATGGCTGCCGAACACCAACGGTAGGGGCATAGAAATCGACGAAATACCCACAAAAGACGAAAAAAGAGTTGGCACCTTCGAGAGGCGGAACAAGCCCCCCCCAAAGCTATCGCGGAAAAACACGGGCACGCACGTAACAAGCAAAACTGCTAGACTTGCGCTGTCGCGCTGACAGGAAGGAACCTCACCGAGGCGATCGAACGAACGAGTGTGTTAATGTAGCTCCCCTTCCCCCTCCCCATCGCCCACATCGCACGACGGTGCCCCCCCCATCCCAATGCAATGCAATACGAACCCACCTCCCCGACGATGCGGTTGAACTCCACGAGGTCCCCCTGTCGGACCGCCTGCGTGAGGGCGAGGTAGGGCTTGAGGGATACCACGAAGCCCTTCTGGTTGAACACCGACCGTTCCGGCACCTCTCCGAGCAGGAGCTGAACAAAACAAATGTCGCCGGTGTCGAGCAATGGGCCGGTGTCGTGGAATCGTGGTGGGTGGGTACAATCACACACGCGAGCGAGAGTTTCAACAGGCGGTGAAAACTGTGCTGCGCAAAACAGTACGCACATGTGTGTGTGCAAGAAAAACGTGACCATGTGTTTTGGTCACGTCATAGTCTCTACAGACATGGTGCTGGGCACTCAAAATGCCAACAATCAGCTGCAACAGCAGCAGCAGCAGCAGTGGCAACAACGAGAACCACACACACCTGTACAATGATGACGAGCTTCTGCGCCGCCCGCTGGAAGCCCATGGCCGTGTTCTGAGAGACCTTGCGGCTGGACTGCATCAGCTTGGTGTAGGCGTCCGTGTAGTCCAGCTGGAGGGCGTGGATGCGCCCCATGTAGTAACTTGAGAGCGAATCCACGAAAGAGGAGACGCGATAGAGAGAATACCCACATAGTTTGTGCTTTTAGCAGAGCAGGCAAACGGCGAAAAAAATGCCGTCATTTTGGGGCGCGGTCCAGTTTGATGCAACGAGGAGGTCAGCCCCACCAATATTGTAGCAATAGCAGCAACGACAAGGACAAGTACGGCAGTAAGTTGTACGGTTCACGTACTTTACATGTGTCGGTCCTAGTCAACACCAGAACCACCAAGAAGCGGCCACGACAAGATATTTGCCACAGCCTTTCGCTACACAGCAGGCGATGGGTCTGTCCATGGGTCCATTGTACGCGAGTGTCGGTAAAGCTATAAAAGGAAAAGAGCCAACATGAGAAGAAAAGAAACAACGTTAAACACCGTTGAGACTACAGCGACTTAGGCGACAGCCTCAAAGTCCCGTCTAAGTTTGCCGTCGGGAGAGATCGGCAAAAAAAAAAAGGGGACGAAATTCACCAAAGGAGTCTTGCCCTGTTCCACCAAAAACAGGAAAAACACCCGAAAACTTCATTTCCGGCCTCTTTGATTGCGAGAAGGGTGTACCTCCGGGTAGTTAGCTTGTGGCCACGGAAGACGTTCGCATCAGTTGGACTGTTTTAGTACGGACATAAGAAGGCACTGAGCGGACACCGGAACGGTTTGTGAAGTGTGAAGAAAACAACACACGCAGCGCATTCTCACAGGTATCGGCAGAACTGGTTGTTACTGCAGCTCTCCGGGAAGTTGGTCTTGGAGGCGAGCTTGTAGGCCTGGTCCAGGAGGTTCTGGGAAAGCAGGTTCCTCAGCAGCAGGTTCAGCGTCGTCGCCTGCCCGATCTCGTCGTGCCTGTTGTCGTTGTTGTTGTGTTACCGGTGTCATTGTTTGGTGTCATCATCGTTGTTGAGTTGCAGGATAATGTCGTTGGACGTTGTTGTTGTTGTTGTTAGCGGTGGTGCCAGTAGTGGACAAGAGCAGGCGGCGCTATTATAGCATGACCGGAGCGCCAAACAAATCGCGCTTCTGCGTTGCGCTCATGAGCGCATGCTACCAAAAAACAAGCAAGCCAAAAGAGTACCACGTGACTTCATGACAACCCCATCACGGACCCAGAACAGGTCGGAATTTCCACACCGGCGAAAGGCTAAGCAGAGTGAGTGAGGCGAAGGAGGAGGGGGAGAGAGGCCCGGACACGGGCCTCTACATGCACAACAAAGACGGAGATAGATGCGGACGAAAAGGAAAGGTGCATGCCATCGTTTGCGCGATCATCAATCAGACAACCCGACCCAACAACGCGTCCACGGAAAACACAAATCCACCCCGCGGGTTCGGCGGACATCGAGAGACGCCACAAGCGGCAAACGACGAGTTAGCCGAACACCGCCCGCACGGTTCTCAAAGACGGTTCTGAGAACCTACAGCAAATCAACACCCGAGCGGCCATTGTTGGCCACCACCAAAGAAACGGAAGATCCATCATACACTGCCGTCAACGCAAAAGGAAATCCTGCAGCATTACTCCTCTTGAGCCCACTTAAGAAACACACCACCTCGGCCTGAGACACACGGTGCTCGCAGCGGTGCTCGGAAGCGCGCAGAGAAAGAAAAGCCTGACAAACCTGAGGCAGCACGTGCGGTGAAGCCCGAGCAGGCGCGGTCGCGCCTCCGGCAGCCGCCCGGAAACCTCGAACGCCAACGAGTAGTAGAACACCGTCTTCGCCGCAAGGGAGTCGAGCGTCCTGGGAAATGTTAACGTTCGTTCACGTGTGCACAATGGCGCGTCGGTTAGTTCCAAGAGAGGCGCACGCGCGCGGGCGCGTGTGGCGGGAACGGACAGCAGTGGATTTGCTGAGAGAGCGGAAAGTACCACTAGTTTGGGTGCCAGCGAGAACCGGAGCAGCGTCTTGTCTTCGTCACGCGGGGGACGCATTGGTCGTTTGGTCGTTTGTCTTCATGCCCTGCCACTCCCCCCCCCACATCAAGTCAACTGGATCATAGATGTGCCGTGATTTATTTACGCTATCCTACGTCATGCACAGGGAGGGACAAGACAAGTCGAAAAGGGCGGCACGGTACAATAGGCAGGAAGAAGGAGCGGCCAATGAAAGCCATACCAGGAACAGCGACGCATTTCCAACTATCACACGCTACCGCGGCCACGAACGGCCCCAAGACATTCTCAGCTGGGGGGAGCACACTAAATACCAACACGGCACAAACTCCTCCCACCGCCAGACAAAAAAGAAAAGCAAGCGCTCGAGACGACAAATATCTTTCGCGCGCGCGCGCCCCCGCACCCACCTCCGGTTGAAGCTCACGGCCCGCTCCAGCAGCCTCGGCGCGACCGCCACCGCGTCCGCGTTTGCCTTGTGCCGCAGCAGCGTCGTCAAAACCAAGGTCGACAAGTATACCTCCACCTCGGGCAGCTTCGCCGCCACCACGCTCGCCAGCGCTTCCTCGGCCTTCTTAGCGGCGACGGCCTCCGCAGTCGCCGCCGCGGCGGCCTCTTTCTTGGCGGCCTCGGAGTCGACCTCCATGGCTTCCGTCGTCGGGGTCTCCGGCTCTGCTACCGCTGGGGGGGGGGGGGCATTCGGGCGTTTTAATTTTCGTGTCAGCGATGATCGGACACGCTATCAAGAGAGATCTTTCCTCCGATGATGTGAGCGAAAAACTCGGGTGGTGAGGGTGGTGGTGGCAAAGGTCAGCGGGTCGCTGGAAAGGGACAAAGGTCACCACTGCCATCCACACAGAATGCACCGTAAACTGGACCCGGCATTGGGCAGCTCTTGTGGTTCTCGCTTCACAAACAGGTGCTGCATGCTGCATCCGGTCGTTCTCTTTTTCTCCTCCGCGTGCTAGGCCCCTCTTTCCCAACGTTGCGTGTTCCCGCCCCTCTCCTTCTTACCCTTCAAGTCGCTTGCCCTCGCCGGGCAGTCATACTACAAAGCACTCGCCATTTCTTTCCTCCTGTGCAAACCCAACGTATTCTCTCCAGCCCTGTCGCTAAATTACATCGCAACCACCCAAGACAGAATCGTTATTAGCCTTACCCTCGCTGGGCAGCTTGGCCAGAAGCCGGGTGAGCTCGGCTTTGTCCGGGCAGTCGTCCGGCAGCAGCTTGGCTAACGCCTCGCACAGCACATCCGCTTGCACCCTGCGTCGGATGGGCGTATTCCTGCACCATAGCGAGCGCCATGGCAAGACCAGCACCAACACCGGCGTATCCACAAAGGATCGAAACCACCAGTGTTGGGAGACACGAGGGGGGACGGTGCATCGATGCCGGAGAGGAGAGGGGGGTGAGCGCGAGTCGACGTGAGGTGAAGCGGCGGAACAGAAATAAAAAAAGAGAGCAAGGACGGGTGAGGGAGGGCCAGGCGGTGCATGGGTAGTCCTAGTAGGCCATGGTCACAATAAGACGAACCACACAAGGGTGATGCCATGAGACGGCTTCAACGTTCGCGTGTTGGCCAAGCGGACGGGGGTTATACGATCTACTCTGCGGCGAGAGATGCTCCCTAGGCGCCTCGTATCGTCCCGAGTTCCTGGTTCAGTCTGCCATTTTCAGTCACCCCCTCCTTCGCCACGACATAACCTAATTCTCCGCGCATGGCCGTGGTCTGGTGCGCAGCAGCCATGTGTCGCCTTCAGCAGTATACCAGAAGATGCGGATGACCGAGAAACAGCCCCACCTTCTCGTCGTGCTTGCCGCCTTTCCCTGCTGCTGCTTCATGGAGCATGCGGCTGCTACTGCTTCCCGTGTGAGGCAAAATGAAAAATGCACATCTCCTTGAGCTTTGACGACGTGTTCGTCGGTGGAATCAGTCTGAAGGTTCCTCGCAGTTCAAAAGGGCTCAAGCCCGACCGACTGCTGTCGCCGCACTACCGCGAGAGGGTCAAGAGAAGAGATCCCGCAAAAAAGCTTTCGGAACCGAACAAGCTAGCTGCTGGCTCCTATGTACCACAAGCAAAACACTTCACCGCATGTATACATACAAGCGCGCCGTACCACCAACCCATGCACATACTACCCCGCCGGGGAGCGCCAACAGCTGTGAGGCGGCGGAACCAACCACGGGCTTCGCAACGGCACCAGAAAACAGGCCCATTTCCAGAGGGAGATGACGCTACAAGCAGTACACTAGCAAAGACGTACCGTTCCGCAACCTTGGAGGAAATATCGAGCTGCGCTACTGTACCCATACGCAAAGGTAGGTGTAACGAACCCACCTACTGATTGCCCTCGTGGTAAGCCGAGCGGTGTCGCCCTGGACGCCCTTGACGATGAGCTCTGCGTTCCGCACGATATCCTCCACCTTGATGCTCTTGGGCACCGCCGCCACTTCCCCCTTCTCCCCCGCTGCTGTTGCCGCCGCAGAGGCGTCCTTCATGTCTACGTCCGTCATCAGGAAACTTGCCCCCTATCGATTTGCAGTTCCGTGCCTGCTACTGATCAGACGACGAAAGAGATGTTGCAGCAGCAGTAAGAGGGGTGTGGGGAGCGTTTCCCACCTGTTCGGGTGTATCAACGTGCAGCATCCATCACGCCATGAGAGACTTTGCCGACGTCAACTATTGCAGATCACCAAAGACTTCATGAAACCTATCGGCGAGCCTTGCAGTGGTATTTGTTCCACCGAGAGCATCCGCATCGTGTGGCCATACAACGGGTCCTACGGGCTTTGCTCTGCTCGACATCTCCACAGAGGGTATCCCAGAGTGGGGGGATGATCTGGCGACTTCTGCGGCAACAGCCGGTGTTCTCGGGGGCTGCATTCCGTGTTGCAAACCTGCATCACCTCGCAAAACAGCCAGCATGCGCATAGAAAAATGCACTATACACAAGATCTCACCTCGATGCGAAGTGCTGTCTCCTTGCTCTGGCTAGTTGGGTGATCTGATTGCGTTGCTGCGCTGCACAGGTGTGTGGAGCTGGGACCCCGCAACCGCGACTTGCTTTTGGCCCGCCCGCACGTATGTATACTATAATCGGGCGGAGCCCCCTGAAGAACAAAATCTCGCCGCATGTTGCTGCTCATAGTTGAGGCAGGTACAGCAACCGCAGTTCGGCATTGAAAAGGAGTGAGGAAGGCGTGGAAGCACATGGCTCTGAGAGTGGTTGTGGGGCTACTTTTGGTGGTGTTCGTTACGGAAGAAATCAGCGCGTTCGTTACCGTTCCCACGAGAACAGCTCGAAGAGGGCAGTATCCGAATCACGCAGGAAAACACCCCACGACCAACGGGCTGCGCATGATGATGGGCAAGAAGGGAGGGGCTCGTTCGAAGAAGAAGCGAGGGCGAGGCGGGATCGGAGATGTCGGCGTGGAGGACGAGGCTGTGGGTATGGATAAGAGGGGGGACGCTGCGGCAGAAGAGAGCGATGGGAGTGTGCCTCGCCTGGTTGTTATGGACCTTGACTACACGTTGTGGTGAGACAGAGCTTGGAACACGCACAACTTGCCGACCTTGCTTACGTATGTACGCGCTGAAGCAGTCACCAATTGGCTTCGGCCTCGGTGCCAAACCCTCTCGACGACGGTGCCATGGTCAAAAACGCTGCTGGGTGGCACATACCCTTCACCGACAGCAGCAGCATGGACAGCGAGCCTTGACCTCGCTCCACACACCAGTTTCCTGGAAACCGTTACGCGCTACAAAACTGCCGCGTTGCACCCAACGGGAGGATGCTGATGCCGGGCTGCTGGTACATCCTCAAATTCAAATAAACGACAGCAGCAGTTCCTTTTGCCTGTAGACAGCTGTTATACTGTAGCAGGCAGCACATGCTTCATCGAGTGGGTGTTAACGCGTAGTCCACGTTCGACCGGCAGTCCCTGCGTTTGGAAGTATACGGTCAGTAGATTGGCAACAGCCGTTTCGCTTTTTTCAGCCCGTCGCCTTCACGTACACATGCCAAGGAAACTGATGAATACGGGATCGGTGAACATTGTTTTCGCCGTTTGCACGCCATTCAGTACAGTATCACCCCCTGTCCATGAACAACTACATCCAGTTTGTTATGGGCATAGAAGCCTGAGCTGAACGCGTAACGAAGGAAGGGGACGAAATTTACATAATCGGTACATAATAACAGGTGGCGAAAGCGAGCAAAGGAAGCCTCACCAGCATCACCTGAGTTGCGCTTCGCCACCGCGCCCGTGCCACCGCGGCCAAGCGTCGTCCTCTTCTATTCACTAGGGTGTGCGACCCAGGCTTCCTGTAGCGTCCGGGTTCATTAGCGACAAGGTTGTATGAAACACCACCACATTGACGTAAATGCATATCGCCGACGAGGATAAAACAGTAGCAGTGAACCCACGGCGACTGACTGCAGGAAGCCGGAGCTGTACCAGATGAGGGGGGCGCCCTTCACCAAGAAGAAGGACGGCAAGGTAAGGGATCGCTCGGGCGAGGTGATCGACCTCTTCCCCGGCGTTCGAGAAGCGCTGCTGGAGGTGCACAGGGGGCATCGCTTCAGGGACACCAAGCTGGCCATCGCTTCGAGGACGTCGCACGAAAGGTGTTTTGAAAGATTTCGAAAATTGTGCTGTTGTTCTGTTCTACACGGATGCAAGCGTGGGGCATTGTACAGTCACGTCTGCGGCTGTGGAGAGGGTAGTGTTGAGCACCGGTGACCTTCTTTAATGAGGCATACTTCTCTTGCTGGAAGAGAGAGAGGAGTATATCCACTCAATCTGCACGAGATGCCCCTGTATTGCGTCGACTGTCTGGGTGAGAACGGGTTTGTCCTTTGAAGTCACAACCCCATACAGAAACGTTTTTTGTTGTGAGGGCCCCCAGAACGCATGGAAGCTGAAAATATCGTGTTGGCAGCCATACGTATTCGTTTGGTGTTTTAGGCGCGGCATGATCGATGCTGCTGTTGGTATACGCATTGTCATACCGCCCACACCGCCGCGATCAAATTCTGCGCATTGACACGCTGGTGTTATCCAACAAGAATCAAGAATCGTTGTGGCCATTGGCCTAGCAACTGATCCCGCTTGGATAAAAAACACTTGGCCTGGTATATCTGCAACGACAAACGCCGCGCACGTGGACAAGGGAATCCGATGAACGATTGGTCCATTGTATAGCAAGGCCGGTGCAAGCCCAAAGGTGAATACACCCCAGGTCTATATTTTAGTAGGACGCGACGTTGCAAGTTTCTTCTCTTGGTGATGTTAACGTTGTTGTTGGTTTTGCTTAATTCTAGTTGGTTGGCTTCGCACGTGGAGTGGGAGCGGTGGGAGCGGTGGGTTTATGTGAAAAATAAAAAGCATTGACTGGAAGCTTGCGTGATAACCAAACCCATCTGCGATACTACGGGAATGTGTGATGCACGTTTTCATCGCTTCCGTCGACCTGGCTCAGCTGCCGCGGATATCCTTAAGCTACGCGATACCTCGGGCATGCTACACTCTTCACCGATTATCCGAGCACCTGGTTCGCCATTGTTTCAAAATCATGCCAAGGATATAGGTAGCCCCTTCAGGGTTGCATTTGTTTTGATTTTGACTCGGGTTGTGTCGGTCTTGTTTCGGCCGTACCCTTCTTTTGTTTTCTCGCGAATGGCGGAGCTCTAGAACAGATCTTCAGTTGGTTGTGCCCCGTTTCAGGTTTTGACTCGCGACCACGGAAACTTAGTTGTTGGCCGCGGACAGAGATGGTCAAAACCAGCGGTCAACGCGAACACAACACCAACAATAACAAGAGCTGCCAGAGTGAGCTTTCGTTCAGATGCACACAATGCTTGACTTCACACGGGTAGTATGTGCTGTGTACGAGTATGTGAAGCAGCAGAGACGTCTCGGGTCTCTGCTTTACCAGAAGCGTTCGAGCGGGAAGAGGGGCTTGGTCTCGTCCAAAGTGTTCGCGAGGCACGCTGGTCTGCGGCGACCATCACTGGAACCAGCCCCCAGTCGTGGCTTCTGTCGATGGTTTCATGCACGCCTTGATCTTGGTCTCGTTTTGTCTCTCTTTACGTGTTTGCATCTTCCGTGTTGAAGACGCGAAAAACCAACACAGCAGCTGCCAGAAAAGGAACATGAAGCATACAATGCAGAGGCAGGTCGTAACTTGGAGAGCTCACCCGCCTCTCGCTTTTTTTTTTTTTGGTTTGTCTCCGGATTCCATGTTCGTGTGTTTCTCCGTTTACAGATGGGCGCGGCAAGTTATGGGTCTCATCGAGCTTGAGCCCGGGCTCCTGATGCGCAGCGTTTTTTCGTTCACCGAAATCTACTCGGGCTCTAAGGTGTGACGGCTGACGGGACTACAACGTACGTCGAGCGAGACTCTATACAACATGAAGCACCTTGGTTTCAGAGAACACTTGTTTGAGACGAAATTGTTGATCATGGGGGATTGGGCCGGGGATAGTTCTCGCGGGTGACCAATGCCTTGGATGCGGCACGGACCGGGGCACTTTGCAACGAACACTTGCCTTGGGAAACCTTGCTGTTATTCTCTCAAGCGACGGGCCAGGTGTTCGGTCGGTATTCTTTCAGCCTTCTGATGTTTGGGACATGGGCCGAATCTCCGCGCAGTCAAACAATTTTTTTCTCTCACCATGTGCCCAAACAATCTGGAAGCGATCACTTCGTGTGTACGCAAAGCCTGATTTCACGGTCGACGAGGGAAAGGAACGGCTGAATCCTCTCCGCGTTAGAAGCCAAGGCAAGCCCCGTAGAAGAAAGGCGAAGAAGTACTCTTGAGCGGCATTCCTCCGGTGTGACCCCGGCTGGTGCGTCCAGAAATTGTACCGACAGGCACAAAGACAGACGCCCCGAATAAGAATAGGGCACGGCAACAACAAAAAACGGAGCAAGTGCAAATGGCGTGTGCACACAAAATCCAGGCTTGATCCCTGCAACCCATTACTGCTGTTGCCGTTGTTGCTGCTAAACACCATTGTGGTTGATTCTTATGTCTTCACTATTTGAACACCGTTGACCTCTCCATCGATAGCACCTTTTCACCCGAGACATGTCCCCAGCAAAAGCACAAAAGTGCGAACACCCTGGGGGGTCGTTCGGGCGTGCTGTCGTTTCACGAAGCATCGCTCCCCTTTCATTGGAGTACTGTTCTACCCGGGGCGTTCGGTTTCACTTCGCGTTCGTGAGCGTCTCCTCCGGGAGCCTTCAGCCCAGAGGGAATTGCTGTGCTCAAGCCGGGTGGTGATCCAACTCATGGTGCGGGACTGGCCTTGGGCAACAGTGCTAGCTCTTTCACCCGTTGCATGCACGAAACCCTGTTTCTCGCGGTCGGCCCTGTCTCGTGTGTGCGAAAAAAGGTTCGGCACTTCGGGGAGATTCGTCGAAACTCGAAGGTTTCCTACGAGGAAATGATTTTCTTCGACGATTGGGACCAGAACTGCAAGGACGTGGGCAAGCTCGGTGTCACTTGCGTGGAGTGTCGGCGGGTGAGAACTAGGGTAGAACAGGGTGTACCGGGGTAGTCTGTTTCTTGAGTTTCGCGTTCTGATTTCTCGTGTCCAAAGTTTTTGGGTGAAGGTGGTTTCAACCTTTTGGCGTCGGGCATGTCAAACCATGCATGCTGGGGATTAAGCAAAGCCTTCTGGTTGCGATATGGTGGAGGATTGTTAGGGAACGGCTGTCTCAAAGACTCTTATTTTTGTTCTGGGTCAAGTGCGTTTTTTGGGATACATTTAGGCTGCCAGTAAGTAGCTGGGTGAACGTATCCGGGGGTGCGTTGTTCATTCATCCCCGAATTGGGCGACGTGCTGTTGCCCGGGAGGGCCTATTGCGGTCGTGTTCTTCGGGAGCCGTGTCAGCGACCAATCACGCGTCTAATATTTTTAGACGACCACGGGAGGGCGACGAGTTGGTTGGATCTCCCAGACTCTGATACCGGGTGGCTTGAGTGTGCAGGCTTGCCTCCTCGCGTTGGGCCTGCTGTGAACCCTTTCTGCCGCTGGCTTCACCCACAGCATACGGAAGCTTCCGTGGCCCTCTCTCCCACTCAGCACCCCGGCTTTTGCCAGTGCCGGGCGCACTGTTATGCCAGTGCTTCCTAGTGACGCACTCTGCCCTTGTTCATCTGGCTGACCGCGCAACATTACGAACAACCCACACAGCAGCGGGGGTCCCCGATTACGGCGGTGGTGAGGCAGCTGAAAATGACCGCCTTATATGGGGCATAGACCACCGTGTTCAATGTGTAGAAAAACTTGAATATTCCGTCTATGCCAGCCAGTTTCACTCGCCTTGTAAAGGGCGATCGCCTTATTCGGGGACCCCCACTGTATCGCGAACAGACAGTTGTGTCTCACCTGCAGCCGTTTCGCCCTCCCACCCCATGTCTTCTCCATGGCGGTTATACCTCATCGCTGGCAGTAGCTGAGCGTGTTCTACCGATAGTCGTTTCCCCACGGCAGACCGATAAACTGTGACCCAAATCTCGTCCCCACGCCCTACAAAGACTCTCCTCCACCCGCTTTACCGTTTTTGCTCGCAACCTGTGTAACAGGGTTTGAGTCGAGAAGTGTGGACCCGGGGACTAGCCAAATTTGCTGCAGCTAAAGAGAGCCTGAGGCCGTGACAACGGGTGTTCTTTTTAAACTTTTGCTGAGACCCTTGGTAATGGCCCGTGGCGGTGGGGTGGGGTACGACGAATGACTTAAATAGCTCTTGCACCCATCCCATTCGAAGGCAGGCGGCGAGGCTGGTCATTCGTCCATCATGCTTGGATACGCATGTCAGATATGTCAGGCGGGGAGAGCACCCTGTGCTGTCCACTACTACGGTTGTTTAGCGATATATTAGTCATCGGGATGCTTGCGCCCGGGCCGGGATCGCGATATTTTTTTTGTGCGAATGCACTGCTTTGAGGGTGCTGCTACCACGTGTGTCGGTTCAATTCTCTATGCCACCCACCCACGCCTAGGTTGGGTCCATTTGTCCCAGATATTCTGGACTACAGCTAAAACGACCTCACGCTCCGAATGTATCCATTTTTTTTTTCTTTGCAGCCAAAGGGAGCTGATGCGTTTCCACTTTACTCGTCTTTGTATGCTGTCCACATGTACTTCGAATTCCCAATCATTCATACGAGCTTTACCTAGACACTATGTATAAAACCTGAAGTTTCGCCGCCACAGCAAAGGGCAGCAGCTTAAGCAACGATGGGGGGTCTTGAAATCGTGTAAGCTACAAGGAGATGCCTTCGGTTCTTAAGCTTACACAATTTCAAGATCCCTTACTGTTGTTTGAGCACCTGCTGTCTGCGGTGGTGGCGAAACTTTAGGTTAATACAGTACACCGCCGTTCTGAGTTTTGTGATTTGTGTACTTCTTTCCACACTGTTACCACTTGAGTATGAACTCCGAAAATCCACCCACTCAACAAATACCCTCATCCAACTCATTACACCACCCAACGACGGCGTCTCACAATGGCATCTCTCTCATGTTTGTTATCAACGAACTACGCCATGCTTCATTTCCGATGAACTCCTCCAGTCGCTAAAACACATAGTCTAGACTACATTCGTCGACACAAATCTTCGAACCGAGAAATATCACAAACTCGCGACTAGATACCAACAAGACCCGAATATCACATCAACCACTTATTGCATCCAGGTGCTGCCGATACATTCACATGTACCCAGAGGTGTCGAAAACCAACGAGAACGTCGAGATAGTTGTACGTACAACTCATTGCCCCAAATCACGAGCAGCCGGTCCTCTCGTGGGCGATCAAAAACAATTCAACAGCAACACTAAGCACCGAACGGAGATATCATCCTCGCCACAGTGCGAGACCGGGATAAGAGGGGGAAAAGTCGAACTCATCATGACCGACAATCAGTAGGCGCTGCCAAGGTCTGGTCGCTGGTTGTCGTGCCGTCAGATTGATAGTTCTGGTTCCCAGGGTGATGCTAAATAAACAACGCGCGGTGCGCTGGCTTGCTGTAGAATCTTCGCGTGCAATTCAACGGCGTTCCATGATTTGTCCAATCCGAGCTCCGACCTGCTCGTTGAAGACCACGTGCACTGCGTGTTTGTTGTGCGAGCTCGCCTTTTTGCGCCCCCCCCATACGATCAAGAGTATTAAAGCCCCATGCGAGCCGCTTTTCACACCAGGACCACGGGGGACACACAGCGCTCTACGATTCGGACCTAAACACACAGTGTATTCGCATTCTGATTTGTGGGGCCTTGGGTACTTTCCTGGGCCCATGCCGTGACCTTACACTTGTTCAATTTTGATCGTTTTGACGCATGTACAACGGCGCAACCACGCACCGCCCTCAACTTCGTTTATTTTCTAGAAGTACGCTAACGACTTTTTCTTCAGCGGCATTCACATGAACTCGCATCACGTGTTGCTGTAGTGGGTTTGTTTCTCTTCAGAATGAAGTTTTGAGAAGCGCCGATTGAAGAGAGCCAAGGTGACCGCCCGTGTTGTCGTGGCGTGTACGAAAGTTCCGGTCACCAAATCTGGTCAGCGACCAGTTGAAATGTGTTGTAAATTCTTCAGTGTTCGACCCATGCTCCCACTGCAACGGCTTCTAGGGATTGGTATTGGGTACAGCGGCGAACAGTCGCCTGCTTATGGTGACGAGAGAAACAGGCCTTCTGCTTCACCAAGCAGGTGCTACTGGCCGTTCGTAGTTAATTGGTGGGAAATAAACACACAGTTCGGTTGTTCACTTCCAAGATGTCCAACCTACTGCAACAACTTCTGCCTGTAGATGGGTGCGTTGGGCACGGTTGCGAAAAGGAAATTGCGTTCTCTTTGCAACTACAGTGTTCATCTAAGGTTTTACCAAGAGATTCCAGAACAATAGTCCCTGTTTCAGCAGAAAAATCGAAGATTTCGGCATTCCCACTTGGGTGTGGAGGCATGATGATGGAAAAGTGTGCCACAATGGCAAGTGGTGCACGAGCGAAAAAGAGTTGGAACGGTGGCAAGTGACATGATGGCAACTGGCACACAATCGGTGAGACGGGAGAGAGACCATACGATGGCAAGAGATGCAATGCCGATCCACCTCACTCAATTGACGTGGAAGCAGACGGCACAACGAGAGAAGAATATGTGATGACGGAAATAACTGGATCGATGGATTGACGCTGAAAAACAAGGCATTCGTGGTGGGCTAGGTGCAGTGCCAGGGGAAAGCCGAAACTTTCACGTAGTGCTTGGAGACCGAGGAAGTTTGGATACATAAAATACAGGGGAAAAAAGGAGAACATGAAGGACGTTCCGATCAAAGCTTTCACAACCAGGTGTGCCATTGAAACGTACTCAAGGCAATATTGTTTTTTTGCAAGGAAAAAAACTTCTTGCCGGATCCAGATGAGCCCATGCTACTTGCTTGAATCGCCGGTCTTTGAACACACAAACTATTAAATTATCTGAAGGCATTGTCTGCCCGTACGACTCGACGCCCACAAACAAACGACGTAACCCCAATATCAAATGCATTCAAAGTTTGTTCTCCTTGACCAAAACGCTGATAAAGACTTAACACCACAAGTATGAACTGTTGGAGCGCCGACGGAGCAAGTGCTTTCACATCTGGCAGACCGGTTTGCCCGGAGAAAATGTCGAACAACCCCTGGCGACTTTCTCAGCGGCCTTTGTCACAGCTTGTCCCTCGCTATCTTGCGTCGAATGATACATCTACAATGTATGTGCCGAACCGACAGCACCCTACGCCCGGTGCTTGCCGTGCAGCGAAATCAGATACTTCCTTATTTGTTGGAATCTAAGCGCCCCCGCGTTCTTGCTGCGAGAGGTCCACTTTTTTCGGCTCCCCAATATTCCTGACACTACACCGAAGATTAGCAGTATACCTGTAGCCCGAGCGCGACGCTTTTCACGCCAGAAAACCCGTAGGAATTGACCGTGCTCTGGTGTATAACACGCTTTTCGAGATTGTGCGTGCTTTGGTGTGCTAGTCACGCGACAAGTCGTCATCTGACGATTTCAAGCATGATTTGTTGATTAAGCCCGCGCGGCTGCTCTGTTTTCTCCGCCTACCCCCTCCTTTTTTCTCGCAGCTCTCCTGTCCCTCTTTCTGCTTCCGACACACATTGCCAGTCGCTGCAAAATCCGTCCAGAAAAATGGTTGTCTCTAAAGCTACCACTATAAGTAGACCCACAATTATCGGTTGTCTGGAACCGAGCTGCTTCTATTTCATCTACACGCACCACAAAAGCGTATCCGCATATCTATATTTTCCGCTAACTGCGTTCAGATGAGTACGGACTCCATTTCCTAGTCCGAAACGCGCACGACCTTGCCATTTATTGGCTGCGCTGACTTTCCCTTTTGCCGAGTTGCTAGCATGTAGGACGGGATGTTTCTTATGAGAACCATACCTTCCGTCGGTAGGGTCTAGCCCTCGACCGTAAAACCTCACCGAAATAACGGATGGCCTTGAAATTGCCGATTTTGCCCAGTTCGGCGTACGGACGTCGAGCCTGGGAAACAAGTGTTCTTGTGGCATCCTTGCTTGTGGTGGACATGCACCGTCTATTATTCTTCGTTTGGCACTTAGTCCCCGTCGGTGCCAATACGTAGGAACGGGTGTCTCAGTTGTCCTGCTCTTGGCAACCCTGGACCGGAACACATACTCACCTTTGCGTTGTGTTCGGCGTTTCCGCTCCGTTGTTCCAGTTCGGATGCGTGTCCGCATGGAACTCCACCTCACCTATCCTGTGAGCTGTGCCGGGCGGGCTGGCCGGGTGGGGTGTCTGTTGCTGCCTCTGCATCTACGCGGTGAGTTTCGTTTTACTCCCCAGTTTTGAATCAAGTTCCACGCGAAAATCAGGCAAGTACAGACATATCTAATTTTCAACTTATGTTGGGCAAAGCGAAAGTTCAAAAAATAAAATATCCATGGTAACCGATAGGGGTAGAGAGAGAGAGAGAGAGAGAGAAAAAACGAGAGAGGTGTCTGTAAGCGAGACAACAAGCAAAGAGCATGTTTTATTACTCACAACCGGGAGGAAGGGAAATACATAAAACTACTACTGAGGAAGCTGAGCGCTGCTACACAAAACATTACCCTTCATATCGATTTACTCCAGTACGGGAGGCGAGCCTTCCGCCGTGACCAACTCCGGCGAGGCCAAGGTTAGCGAGGGCACCAGCGCAGCCACACAAGCGGCTGGATCCGGAAAGGCTGGGGTCGACGGCCCGGCAGGGTCTGGTGTATCCGACGCTGGGCGCGTTGAATGAGCTGCCAGCCCTTGCGCAGAGGTGACTGTCGCTGCCTAGGAGAACAACCCGAACGGTAGAAGAGAATACTCCGTTTGTAGCTGTCCGGCGACCTGACGAACTTGGTAACGGTGTTGGTGTTGTAGCGGCTAGAGGAGCTCAGACGCAACTCCACGTCCGGTCCGTGAAGCCACCTGAGATATCGTGGAGAGAATCATCGCTCGACCACCTTTGGCCTTTCGATATCACGGATCTTCGAAACGTGTCCCCCCCTCCATGCAGCTCTCTCGGGTCATTGACTCAACGGGGGGTGCGGGCCCGAGGCCGGTGCTGGTGCTGGTGCTGCTCCTGCCCCTGCTCCCGCTCCCGCTCCCGCTCGTGTGCCTGCCGGAGGGCATTTGTCCGAATCCGATGCTGCCTCCAGCAATGCGGCACGGCCACTCCCGCACCCAATAGCGAAGGTATGTCCGACGGCCGACTCAGCACTATCTCTAGGTGCTCTTGAAGAGCGGCGTTTGGATTGCGAATGATGACTCGGGTCGTTCCTGATAGATTTTCACCTCGCCCTCGCGAACGCGAACGTACGAGCAAGGCGAGTGCTCCGTGCCTTCACGCACAAGACATCGGCAACCTCTTGGTTAGACTTGTGATGGTCGAGCAGAATCTTGCGCGCCCCCGGTGGCATAGGGCCTCCTAGTGTAGCGTCATCTAGCGTTTCCACCGCGTCCCACCTCCAACACGTCGTGGCGATTAATGGTCGCCATCTCTCGTCTCAGTTGAGACGCGAAAGAGACTGGGTGCAGAAAATGTGGTCAGACTTCCGACTGGCCCTGGGGGAGTTCAACGGAAAGCTTCTGGAGACAGTGGATACAGCCGAGGGAACTCCAAGCGGAGCGCTAGCGAGAACCTCCCGCGAGGACACCATCAAGGCCATCGTGAGTGGGGAGATGAGGTACGGTGTTTCGGGAGCAATCGAAAACTTCTTTGTTAGTTGCTATCTGCTGCATGTCGGAAGCGACAAGTGCAAGACGCATCCCGACTGCATTCAACGTATTCGGGAGGGAACTACCGTCCCTTGGGTTCCGGGGAATCATATGAGATTATTGACGTGTTTTCCTCGTGTGCTTGTGCCCCGCTGTTGATAACACCATTGGCCGGGAGACCTGCGGTTTCAAAACGTTTTCATCGTGTAGGATTCCCTGCCTCTTCAATTTCTAGCGCTTCGTGTGGGCGAGGCCAGTGTGCAACGTGCTCATTTTCCTGGATCTCGAACTGCTTGTCTGCGTGTTCGCTCGGATGCTCGGTGTGCTGGCATTACCAGACCCAACTGAAGGTCAAAGTTTCATCGTCGCAGTTCGCGACCCCTGCAGACTGGGCAGCATCTCTCCCTGGAACATTGGGGTCGGAAGTCCTCAAGACGTTGGAGGTGCGTAAATCAAAACACCCGGGACACGATACTGCATGCCCTTGGTCTTCCGGTGGGTGGTAAAAGGTCTGCTATGCTCTCCAGAAAGCACTCGACAAGCTACACTGCCATGTAAGCGTTTTCCATCTCACGGCACCCTACAAACCGCAACCCGTGCCGCCTGGCCATGTTATTTTAGTCAGTGAAGATAACTCGTCGACACTATCGACGGAAGGCTTCGATCGGGCTCCAAAATGTTCGGTTCAGCGTGTGTTGACAGGAGAGGGGCGACCATATATTAACCTTACAGTTGACACCCCGCTCATCCGCCCCCCTTCCCGCACTGGTTTTAGGAAGCCTGCAACAACGCGGTGAACTCTTTCGTGCAAGAACGCCAGCGGTGTCTTTCTGAGGACGGAACCCCATGCGATGGTTGCGGAGGAATTTTTTGCCCTGTCTGCCACTTTGGTTGTCGCCTCACCAACCCTGTCTACGTGCACTGCGGGCGGTGCGGTGTCTTGGTGAAGAATCAAGGTACTGATCTAGGGCTTCTTCGGTCAGAAATCGTTGGGTACACAATTTATCCAATGGCTCGTACACCACGCGTGCGAGAATATTGTGCAATGTCGTGGCCATAAAGGAAAATATTCCAGTAGCACTGGGAGAGAAAAAACGGCCCTCCCCAGACTTCTCGGGCGTGCTGCGGTTGACCTAACCCGTCAAACGTCACCCACTCCTCGAACAAACCCTGCGAGGCCGAGCTGACACCTTCGGAAAGGAAATTACCGTTATTCTCCGCCTGGTAGCCCCTTGCCAACCCAAGCACTTATACGCCCACACCTACCTTTGGTGAAAGTGAACCTCGTGTATTCCATGACGCCGAAATGAGACAGACGCATCCTGGCAGCAAACCCGTTCCAGTATGGTTGAGGACGTGAAAAGTGACACATTGGTTCCTCGAAGTCTAAAACACAAGCATTGATTATCACTAAGGCCGTCTTGAATGCAGTCTACAACAGTCGTTGTGTGCATTCACTATCGCTTGGTACGAATGGTTGTTTGCTCCCCAGCTTTGGACACGACATACGCACCGTAAGTAACTATTTCAAAGCAGGAGCTGGTTTTCTGCACCGGTCGAAAGTACGCACCTCCACGTTTTTCAATTTTTGCTCTTGCTCGTCTCCCCATACCAACCAGCCTAGAGACGTCACATGAAAATAGTAGCAACATCATTCTCCACACGTTTGCAACTCAGCCACGATGGTTTTCCTGCCCGGACCATCCTTTCCATCACACTTGCACAGCGTCTTTCTTCCGAACCGTGGATGGCGTCAACACCTCGTGCGATTCTTGTTTCACGAAGGCCAACGTCGACTTTGCCGGCGCTGGGGAGAAGTCGGTACTGTCACTCAAGCAGCCCACCAGGAGGCTTGCCGCACGAGTCTTTTGCAACGGATGGAACGCGTGGGTTCACCACGTGAGGGCGAAATGAATGAAACGAGCAATTCTGTCTCGTTCCATTTCTGGGTGCCAGACTGGACGGTTTCTTCGTGAGGCAACATGTGCACACAGTTCGGCCCGCACACGTTACAGATGTTTTCTACATGGAGGAAACAAAACTCACGTTTCCCGACATGTAGAACGTTTGCAAACAAACCATGTCCTCGAGTGGAACCCTACACTTTGGCCTATAAAGTAGCCTATACTAGACAGCAGTTGAAGCGATACCAGGAATCGAACTACAACTACCGTACGTGTCTAACTGCATGAGCACGCAAATCATTCACAAACTCCTACTGACAGCAGGTGACGATTTGTTGCTTATGAGCCCCAGTTCCCATCCTTCCAAAACCCTCTCATCATACGGAACGGGGAGCAAAACTCATGACGAAATATCGATGCCCTCGAGGCCTTCCCATTGTCGAAGTGGTCACAAAATGTTCCTTCTCCCATCTCCCCACGGTACGCACCCCACCGCCAAAGGATTTCCATTCTAGGTTTTTCATCCCGTTGCTTCTGGTTGGTCCTTACACCTTTTAATACAATTCTTACACATGGGAGACCTAGTGGTTATCATCAATGCGTTTCCCTCAGGTTCCCAATGGAAGATGTCGTGCTAAACGTACAATCCCAACAACAACGTAGGTGTCAGCGAAGGCACTAACTGAACGAGAGCCCGGCCCTTCCCACGTTGCGCAAGAACACGCCCAAAAGAGACTTCCTTGGGATATCAAAACCGGGAACTCGCTTTGGGGTTAGAACCCTGTGCGTCCTAACGTAGCTTTCCACGAGGTTCGGAAAGAGTGTGGAAGAGACGACTACTGTACCCTTTTCATAGTATTGAAGACCAATTTACGAACGTTCCAAGGTGCCATGTTGGACAATACCTGTAGGGAAACCAATGACCTACTGTATATCGGCTGTCTTCGTACCTTGGTCATATTCAGGTTTTCTGTCCGATGAATATTCTTGTAGCTGTCACTTGAAGAGCCTACACCATACTCCCTTTGGCAGCGGCTTGTAGTAGAACCCTGTCGCGACCACGTTGAGGGCGTGCGTAGACGAGGGCTGGCGCATAGCGTTCCCATTGCGCCAGCTTCGCTGATTTTATTCCTCAGAACCGCCTGGTCCCATACCAGATATGAAGCTATTCAAGACCACTTTGGGGGCTAGTGTTACTGCTGCGTTTAAGAGAGAGGTCCACGTAACAACGAATCGGCTACATGTGGCAATTTTCTTTTGCTGCAGCAGTGTCTCCCAGTACAGAATATCCTTACGGAGTACAAAAAAAACACCTGCAGTACCACCACCGTCCTGATGCACTCCAGCAAGCATTGAGACTGCCGAAACCTGTTTGCGCTCAGGCTACGATGTGGAAGCAAGTGGGCTTACCAAGGGTATTTCCCCAATCGATCTCAATTTTCTATTGTTGCAACATCAGGATTGCGCCCAGTTCGTCCAAGGTCTCCGGACGACCTCCATGGGAGACACCTACAAGAGCTTCGACAAGCAAGATGTGAGCTAAGTGTGACCCCGTCGTAACAGCAGTTGTCTTTCCGAGCAAGAACAGTGAGTTAGTTCCCTCTGTGAGCCTCAGTATCACTCTCATATCGAACCATTTGCGCCCAGTTCGCGGTTCTGTTCCCCGGGAGAGCACAAAGGTCTCTCTCGTGGCTTGAGTCACTCTTATCCTCCTCGTCTCGTCCAATCTGCGGCTAACGTACCGTCTTCGCCAAACTACTGCACAATCCTGTGCCGTGAAGGAGGACAATTCATGGTTGTCTAGGGCCCGTCTCCCACGAACGAGCGCCGACACTTTCGTCGACAAACAACTTCGGGCTTCCTTGATCGGACAAGGGGCGACCACCGATGTCGCCCACCCTGTTCACGTACGGAAATCGACGTCAGGTTGGTTGCCTGCGTCAGGGTGGCATTCAATTCCCCTCGTGGTGTCCCTGGTGGCCTAAACACACATATATGATGCTGGGGAGAAAGTGTCGCGGTCGATTGGTGGCACATGAAAGCTGGTGACGACCGTCGCCGGAGTGGGCGACAGACCGCATGACATTCATGAGCACCCCACAGCATCAATATACTGGGGAAACCTGAACCTTATATGCCGTCGTCCCTCCCGAGATAGCATCCAGTATCAACCTTAGTTGCCACTTTAACGCGTTGGTCCAAAGCGAATCTTGTCGGGGTGCAGGTAGGGTCAGAGCGCACGTATTTCCTCCTGCCCCTTTGTTGATTCCGGGAGACGCTCGCTATCCGCCATCTCTCCTGCGTGGACAGGGCTTTGTTGGCAAAGGGCATCGTTGATCCCCCCGGCGCGGGCCAACGTTGGACCGCGACCATGTCTGCAATGGTACAGGATGTCTGCAAAGCGTGAGTCGAGTTGACGTCAGCAACCGGAGACGAGCTGCTAGGCTCGCCCTCGAGGATGAACGCGCTGCTAGAACGACAACCGACGGTGAACACCATTATCACCGGCTCCCAGGTGAGTATCTCTACTGGGCATGTGTAGGTATTTTTAAATCCTGCCATTCTACTCTTCGGGGCCGCCGCCACTCCGCTGACTGGTTGTTACTGTAACACGCACCAAGCCGCGGGAAAGAAGCATCGGCGTTGACGTTTAGCTCCACAAGAGAGCAAACACATAAGGCAGCTAACATGTGACTAAACCTACCAAGGATGCACGTGATTCAGGTGAGCTCTCTGGCCGCAGGCACGAGGCATATGCACGAGGCGCTTCCAACGGCAAGCGTGGGTGCGCTTGTCTCTTTTATCGACACCGACCCCACCCCCCCTCGTTTTTCAACTTGTTGCGATGCTCCAAATGCAAATTTCGTCATTAACAACAACGACAACGCTACAACTGGCGGCCAGGACGACAGTCCGGGTTTCTATCCAGGCGGTCTAATCTTGACCATGTACGATGAGATGGCCAGCTTGGCGAACCTTCTGCTCGTCAAGCATTGGCAAAGAGAGCAGACGACCGCCTACGACACCGTCAGGTGCACGGTAATTTTCTCAGCTTTGTTGTGGTTGTGGAGCCAACGAGAAGCAACTGCAATGTTGTAGGGCGGGGAAAGCTCGATCATATCACGACCGATCCGGACGGATAAAAGCATGTGGGCACGTTTGAACCTGTCCGCCAATCTGCACTTTGAGTGCTCGTTAGTTGCGCCCTCGCCCTGTGGATAGGCCTCGATCTACGTGGCACATACCAAACGCACATTGGAACAAAGAAGGGTTCCCACAAAAGAAACTTGCAACATGCTGGGTTTCCTTCTAGCTTGGATGCGTGGGTACCAATGCGTTCACCCGCGAGCACATAGTAGTATCTTCCGTGTAGTGAGAAGCGCTGATATTTGTAGGGAGTAAATACGTCGAACACCCCTCTTTCCGGGTTTCCTCTGTGCTTTTAAATTTTTCGAGCATTGCAGAAATCTCCCCCGCCCCACTCTACGGTTGCCTTGGCGTGCAAGCAACAAGTAGGGGCCCACTGCATGCTGGAGTTAAGACAGCTCGACCCATTTCATCAGGGGCGATCGTCATCTTGACGGCGTCCACGTGTATATCGAAGTTTTCGAGACCCACCACAAGGCGCGTGCTCGAGTGACTTGATACATTGACAGCTGAATCGCGTAGCATATTCGCTGCTTCTCCGCACGGGCCTGTTGGAAGACATAGTCCTCATCGTGAGGAAGCGAAAGCCGGCAGAAGCCTTGGAGGAGGCGCACTCATTTATTCTGCGGTGAGAATGCAGTCGGCTTGCGAAGGGTTGGTCCTCTTGCGATGGTCGTCGTCATCCTGATGTTGCTTTTGTTGATGACGTTGTACCTGTCTGCCGGTGAGACGCGGGCTGCTGCTTCTACTTCGTCACGTGTTGCCAAACAGTTCTGACAATCCTGCCTCCTTTTCCGTAGCGCATTCTACACAACATTACAGCCCTGACGATACGTGTCCCGGGGAAAATATCTATTTTGACCAGGGGTGTAATTCTGTGGGGGGTGTGGCACCTTCAGTGACCGTATTTCTTGATCTGATGGAAATATGGCGTAATTGGCTCACGTTGAACACATTTCACCGTGTTTGGCATTCGGAAAAGGGGTGGTTATTCTTGTAAAGAATTGGTAAATCCTAGAGTAGGCGGTTGAGATAGTACTGATCCACGTTCGTACGTCTCATATGAACGAGTGTGTCCCGTCATGCGTGTTTCATTTCCTTTGCGGCAGAGTTCTTGCTCGTCGTGTCGACCAAGTCGACGGCATGCCGGCGAGTTCCTTCTTTCTGGAGTTGGCCACCATCACCGACAGCTGGGAACGCATGCCGTGGGCGCAGAACGTTGTACCCAAAATTCGCAAGGTGTGTAACGTGTGTCACCAGTTACTCTGCATTGCTAATATGCAGCTGGTATCGTCTTGCACTTGAACTCACGCCCCCGTTGTACGGGCGTTTCGCCTGCCATATCTTTCCATCGCCTCCTGAAACAAGACGCCCCACAAAGCGTTGCGCTCATCAACAGCATCAAATAGTGTTAGGTGCTTCCAGAGTTGCCATCCCCAACGTCGCAAAGAATACGACAATATGATGCTGTTCTTTCAAGGGTGTATCCCGCTCTTGGCGATTGTTCGTTTGTGTTGCGACGACCTTCTGTGTTCCCACCGCTGCGTCACGATACCCACTCCCAAACGGACAACAACAGAAGGCGACCGTCGTCAAGGACAAAATGGCAGCGGCACAGGGTGATATTCTGAGCGAGTCACTGGGTGGGTTGTGATAGGAGACGCCCCGGGGTGCCTAGAGAGCCTGGTGGTCGAGGTGAGAGCAGCAACATCCGATGCATCAAGTAATTTTTTATTGCAGGGCGTCGTAGAAGCCGGAAACGGTCTTCCGGCTAAGATTTATTGGTCTGATGAGCACGCTGGCGAGGTTACCCGCCCCACCTCGAGCGGTGTTCATGCACACGTACACATGCATCTTGTAGAAGAACTAGGAACACATGAGTCAAACACCACGAGGTGGTAGTTGGGTCGTGCTGGGTCGAGACGGGAACGGCCAAGCCCGTGGAAACCCACCACACACGAAAATAATGTGTCTTCACCCCCCCGTGGCGACGCCGAATCTACACATGTCGTGATGATTATTGGCTGTCATACCCTTGACACACGATGTTCTACCATGATTTGATCGTCGGTGTCGCCATTTCCTAATCGTCAGCGCAACAACACTCTCCCAGAGTGATGGTTTTCTTCGCTACTTTCTCTCTGTGTAGACGTGTCAGAAACAAGCGGAGCAATATCGTCTTGGGGCCCTTGAACTCAGGCTCCCATGGATTGTCGTCCCACCATTCTGTACGCCGGTCTTTATTCTCAACTCTTTTTACGTTTTCTGTACATGCCGGGGCACACAGGAGGAAGACCACCCAGGAGGTTTTTCTCGGCCTTCCTTCTGCGATGGTTCCCTTCATTTTTCTGGCAAGAAGGACTTTCCTTTCCCTCGTCGAACGTGAAGTCGAGCATTTCGTACACATTTAAAGTTTAGGCTTACGCATTGTTTGGTCATAATTTGAGAAAACGTTCCAGTTTGGGTGACGACTGCACCTCCCACGTCGCAAATGTCGCGAAGTTGCGAGGTTAACCCATTTCAGCACTCAGTCACTCTTGTGTGACCGCCGAAAAAATACTAACAGTCCGAGCAAGATATCCACACAGCATGGCGCCTTTTTGAGCATCGGCAATCCTACAGAGGACATAACGCACACTTACGTTTCGAACAACTTCTCCTCCCACCCCTGGCACACGGGCTGACACATGGACTGACAATGTTCACGTGGACATTGCTCCGCTTGGGCATAATGAAACCGCGCCCCCTGGCCTTTCCTCGACGTTTCCCTTAATCTTCATATGCTTGTACCCCGTCAACCGGTGCCCCCCTTCCCTCGCCGTGTCCCGTCTCTCAAACGCCTTTTGCAACTGCTGCACGTGTCAGGCGTGCAAGGCACAGACGCCAGCCTCGAGAGGGAAAGTTTTAGCCGCGACCAGGAGGGGCGGAATCGCCTCCGTCAGAGGACGAGGAGGGGGAGGAGGAGGAGCAGGCCCCCCGACAAGAGCCACCGGTCGCCGCCGTGCCGTTCCTCCGGAGGACCACAGCTCGGAATCACCAACACGCTCTCCCAAACGCGCGAGACAGCGAGACGGCGGGCGCGTGGGGGGGACAAGGGGGCAACGGCGGGGCGACCGACTCACCGGGCGGTGATGCTCCCAACGTCGTCGGCGGCGGTGGTGACGGTGGCGGCGGTGGCGGCGGTGGCGGCGGCGGCGGCGGCGGCGGCGGCGGCAGCGGCGGCAGTGGCAGCAGCACGGCGGGCGGCCTGCAACTCGGCCTGCCTTCCTCGGCAGCGACGGTCAACTCGGGCGAGGCAGGGGGACCTTCTGTCGACAGGGAAGGTCCTGCAGACCAGCAACCGCGGCCACCGCCGCCGTTGCCTGGGCGGGAGAAGCAGAAACAGGACCTCGAGCGACAACTTATTGTCTTGCAGGCGGTCAAGTTCGGGGTGGATTGTATTGGTCTTGTCGAACCTCGCTTGCCTGCATCGTCCGTGCGGGCCGCCGGCGTATGCGTAGCTACCTGGGGGAATTATAAATGTTCGGTTCGAAAATCTAGACAAGAATTGCCTGCGCTTGGGTTCGCCGTGGTCCACATTTGAGGCCTGCTTGTGGATGGACACATTCACATGTAGATTATTGTAGCACCTCGGGCGTCAAACATGTGAATATGAATCGATACACTCGCGTATGTACGACAACCGGTCGTCTTGTGAAGGCGGACATTTGCTTCGGTGAAAAATTCACTTCGAATGTTTTGGGTTTTCGCTTGTTCAACCGAACCTTCGCGTGTCGCCTTGGGACTGAGTTACGCGACTTGTACCGGAGGTGCCGATATGGGTAGGGCGGGAACATAGACTCGACAAATTTTGCAGGGTCGCATGCTTCGCAGGGAACCCCCTGATCACTTTACCTGATGTGCTAGCAGAGTGTCCAATTTTCCATATTCTTAGTTGAGACGTTGTGTCACCGCCTTCCTCACATCCACCCGTACGCGTTCACACATATTTTAGAAGCGTTTCGTGTTTTCAACCGCCCGCACTTGAGACTGACGTGTTTTCATTGGTCAGCCGGTTAGAACGGTCGATGCAAATAACGAAAACACGGGCACAGACGGTGACCCAAGACAAAACATCCTATTCGCGTACCCTACCTCCAGCCTGCATCCGACAAATCCGTTCTGGGCGATCCTCCACTGAATTCATTGGGATTTTACGATATGTTTGTTGTTTTGGCTTACTGTGTGTGACCGACTCTCGCGTGATCCCTCGCAACACTCTGTATCCGCCGCAAATATACGTATTTTTGCAAGCAGAAGAGTCTATTGGCGTCCGAGAGCCTTAAAGACAACCTTTTTGTCTTCATCAAGAAGCGATCGCCGTCACCGGTGGCGATGGCCGCGGCCGGGGCAACGGCAAGGTCGCGCCCCCCGTCTGCTCCGGGTGTTCATGTCGGCGGTGTTGCTGCTTGCAGCGCCACCAGACAGCCACCATCGGTGGCGGTGGCAGAAGACACGCCGCCATCGCCTCCAGGGGATGACCACGCTGGCGGGGACGCTGAAGCTTCTGTTCGTCCAGGCAGCTTCCTTGGCTTTACGTCCGAGCCTGACCACGTGTCAAACACCGTTTTTCGGGACCGCAAGGTTCTCTCCGACACCATGCAGGTATCCTTCCGTTGAAAACGTGTTGAAATCTATTTGAAAATATATATGGTGGTAAACAATGCAAATGGTTTCCAGGGCGACGCGGCTGGCAGGCGAGAAGAATCGAAAACAGAATGGCGGAGCGACCTCAGAATAACAAACGGCGCACAGAGGCGATTGTATGAAATATTGGCCTTCTCATCGAAACGCGCCCACGTCCATGGTGACAATGTAGCTCCTGAAATCACGACGGAGAAAACTATGGTTGACATCCAGCCCAGTGGCGGCGAGAATTCGGTATCTTAATGAGAATACACCCACGAGGTAGACAACCCCAGGAAATCATATATAGACAGACATGTAGACATAAGGTGTTGGGTCTGTAGATTGTAGTCTGCTCTTTGGGGAAGGCACAAACACGCTGCAGAATCACATGCATCCCCCCCGGAACAAGATTGGCTCCTAAATCCAACTGGACTCTCTCCATCTTGTGCAGCACGCTGAATGCATAGCAGTACCCTCTGCCAGCATCACAAAGCCGGAAGTCGATTGTGCTGCCTGGTACATACGGAGTAGTAGAATCCGTACATTTTTCTCTGAAAGTGGCTGCATACCCGCTCTTGCCCGCCTCCCGCTTGACCTCCCGCTCTCACCCGCTCGCTCTGCTCCAGGTGAACATGCTGCAGACCGATAGCATTGTCGCGAACGCTCGGGCATTCAAGGCGCTATGTCTGGCCCTTCTCCGGCCGCAGGAGGGTATCAAGGTTCTCATCCCCATGTGTGCCGGCTGTGGCAAGACCATCCGGGCAGTGCGATGTCACTGCCACACGTGCGCAAAAAACTGGTAAGAAAAACCTGATTTTGTACAACAACCGCTGTGATGATGTTGTAAAGCTACCTTGATCCCACTGGTGTGATGACGAGATATGAACTGTGCCTCGCAAACCAACGGCTGCTGGTTCTATTTCGGCGTGCGACGCAGGTGCCGGAAGTGTACGGACCCCGAGGAACGGCGCGTCACCATTACTCGGTGCCAGAAATCCCGCAGCCATATCGAGTGCCAAAACTGCGGCTACTCGAAGGGGCTCACCATTGTTATGTTAACCTACATTACCATGGCTCCGGATCCAGGACGTTGAGAAACGCATGTTCGGCATGTGGGGTGTTTGTGCTATCCTGTTAATGCCTGCCCTCGCGCGAGTTGGAACGATTCCGCCAGTTGCATTCCGGCAGCCGACGAGGAGAGCTCCCACTACGAACCGGCATGTACTCACCAGGAGGAGATTCTGAGTGCCACGGTCATCCGTCAATGCTATGTACCATCAATGCTCACTAAAGGTCATGGTTCGAGATATCTCTTATCTGGCTAAAGCACTCAGGAGGGATTTATTGCATGCAGTGAAGAGAGAGAGAAAAGGTGCCCGGAATTTACGGATTGACCAAATATCCTTGGGGCCAGGTGGTTCGCTCTCGATGACAAAGAGAGTCAGCAAAATCCCCTCTGTAATATATTGGTGCAGAGAGACAACGTGTTTCAATCAAACCGCCGTAGAACAACACACAACACGCAACACGCAAAGCACAGACGCCCGCACCCTCATCCCAATCGACCAAACGCCTACTCCGTGGACGAAACAAGAGCCATCAGCGCCCCTCAGAAGCAGATGAGGCATGACCCGCATCAAGGTACAGCTGAAAATGAAGGGGACAGACACAAGCAACGACGCGCTTCCATGCGTCCTTGCACAAAACAACGGCATAACGCCATCGTGTTCGTCTCCAAGGACGAGACGCTGCCTTGGCCATACGTACACGTATGCGAGGGGGGTGGTGTTTCTGTTGTTTCGAGGTTTTCAGAGTTGACCAGCTCGCCTCTCTCTCATTGTCTACCATCACAACCTGATCTTGGGGTCAGCCAGGAACAACAACATCGTGTTTCTCATCGTGTGAGGGTCACCAAGTTCCGTATCAGCACCCACTGTGTTTCACGTCGTGATACGAACAGGTAGGATTTCCTCTCAGGGAGCACGTGCGGAAACTTCTCCAGGACGGCTCAGTCCGAAGCGCTACCGCTATAAGCTGATTACCCAGACTCACAAGCGATGCTACGGGGAGCTCGAAGCTACACCTACAGTAATACGATTCAATATTACCAAGACAACAATAGTTCACTCTGTTTCCGTACCATACTACTTTTGACCGGGTCCTCGTCGCCGGTTTTACACCAGCCCTTTATTTTGTTTCCTGTCGAATTGCTTCATTATTTCTTCGGTTTCTAGGCTACGTGTTGGGGCGAGAGACGCACGAAACGCTCATCGTCTCTCCGGCCGCGTTAGCTGCGAAGGCCGGCGTCAACTCTTACAAATCCATCTCTCTCCCCACAAATACTAGCCGGGGGACTACGACTGCAAACGCAGGAGTCCCAAAACTGACCAAGTCCTCAAATGGTACAAACCATTCTACAACACCCGACTAGATACCGAATATTCCCGAGCTTATGCCCCCACCTTCGAAAGAAAGGGATGGGAGGGCGGGATTTTCTAAACTGCCGCCGCTACTGCGTTAGGCGGCTGCTGCTGTCCTTCCGTTGCTTGACGCGCTCTGTAGCTCTCACACAGTACCCGACTTTGCTACAGCCCCTGCGTGGACTCGATCACGGGATGACACCCCCAACTAAAGACTAATCATTCCAAACACCGTGACCCTGGGTTTCCGATAGAAATGAAGCCAAATTCTAATTCGACTGTTACAAAATAAACACCAGTTTATTCTATCTGCTTCGACGAACAAAACTTCCTTTTATTTTGTTTTCTGTCGAATTGCTTCATTATTTCTTCCGTTTCTAGGCTACGTGTTGGGGAGAGAGACGCACGAAACGCTCATCGTCTCTCCGGCCGCGCTAGCTGCGAAGGCCGGCATCAACTATAACAAATCCATCTCTCTCTCCACAAATACTAGCCGGGGGACTACGACTGCAAACGCAGGAGTCCCAAAACTAACCAAGTCCTCAAATGGCACACACCATTCTACAACACCCACATCGAGGTCAGTTTCTGGACGACTACCGAATAAGTCAACTATCCGTTCCCCACACGGTCCCCTCCCCCGGCTGTCTCGATACTATCCTGCTGCCGTCTGTAAGTTTCCGTGACACTCGCCGCGAATCCTCTACATTGTTTCGCGCGTACGGCTTGTAGGCATCCGACCTCCACTTTCCTTCTCTCTGAATCATTCGTTCTGCGACGTCTCCGCCCGATGCAAGAGCCGTCGCGCCTCCAATTCGCAACGAGTGCAACGCGTACTCCTGGGGGTTACGCCACGACTTCGCTACCACTTCTCTGACTGCACGGAGGGCAGCACTATACCTCACTACTCTCACAGCTCTTCCACTACGGTACGAAGCCAACGGTGCGGAGTCAGGCAACGTCGCATGACACGATAATAGCTCCACCACAAGAGCCACCGCGCCGCCGCGTGCTCTCACACCTGACTGCGGTCCGGTGACTTCGTCTCGCGTACGAACCCGTATGTTGCCTTTCTGCTCTTGATCGGCCTTGTGTCCTCTAAACCTCATTTCGACACGGTCTGCTCTACTACGATAGTGACTAAAGTGTAGTTGCGTCTCGCCGGCAAACAATGCTACGTCCGCCCTCGTAAGACAGTGTGCCTCATGCACCCTGCCCGCGTCATTCGCGAACACCTCATCAGACCGTGTGATGAAGAGATAGGACAGGCACAGACACAGACACATCACTCTGCCCCCTTCCCCCCAGTTTTGGCTTGCGCTTTCCCCTTCCAGCAGCATACGCCAAGACACAGGCAGGCGCACACGGCGTACCGCCCCCATAGCCACGTGGTTCCTCGCAATCCCCCTTAGCGCACCTTTCAACATCGCAGACGACAAGTCTAGCTCGATCGACCTACAGTAATACGATTCAATATTACCAAGACAACAATATCTCCGTACCCTACTACTTTTGACCGGGTCCTCGTCGCCGGTTTTACACCGGCCCTTTTCCTCAATGTGCACCTCCGCACTTTCGAAATCGGGAAAAACTCATGTCATGCCTGCACGCTTCTCCCTACCCTCATGCCGGATTCTCACCGGCCAGGCGGATCCCTGCCGCACGCGTAACATGAAAGGCAACCTCATGGCCATCAGTATCTGGACAAAGAAGAACACCCCCTCCCCAGAATATACCGAATAGGAGTCTGGTGCAATGAAAATAGGATGTTGGGCTGTTGTACTACGGCGCACGCGTTGTTGCGTGGCCCTTTGCTGCGTGGATCCCTAAAAATATTAATTCTCTCTCGCAACTAACAGCTCACGCACTGGGAACGACAAAGGAAGCCTGGGTTTCAAAATACCTTGAAATACTGTCATCGTCAGCCATCTTCTTCTCCCAGAAAAGGCGAGGGATGACCACCTGCACCTGGGTGTTCCCCTCCACGAGTTTGTCTCCTTCATACGACGGGTCGAATGTATCCTTGTGGTGCTCGCTAGGGTTCCAAGCCTCCCTGCTTCCAAACTTCTCCGAGAACTTCAGTGGGGCTGACCGCTGAACTTCGCACTCCAAGAACGTCAAGAGAAGGGCTTTGACGATATCCTCGTAGGCTACCTGTGTCGCGTCGAACAGTGCGGTGGGACCATTCGGCGAAATCTTCGAAACGGAGACGCACGCGTCAAGCCCGTGAAAGACACCTCGAGCCAGCTCGCTCTGGTTGATGGGACATGCTGGGCACACCTCAGCGAACATCTCTTTGTATCCCTTGTGGAAGGCGCTGCGCTTGAATTGTGCCACTTCTTCAGCAAGGTGCCCATCGTTGGTCGCTCCCACGAGCTCCCTCATGATACTTGTCATCAGGTCCATCCGCCTAGAAATACATTCGTGGACGCGCCCAAAGCACCCATGCGCTGTCTCGACAAGCACTTGCAACACGAAGTTCCTGGGGTTTTCGATAGCCTCGATCGCATCCTGGCTTACCAACCAGGTGTTGCAGGGATCTCCCAGGGCTTCCGCGACCCAGTCCACGAAGAGCTGATCTTGGATGCTCGCGATTCGCTGGACAAGGTCAGCCGGTGATGGAAGGTTGGAGCCGTAGTCATGCTCGCCGGCTGAGCTGAGCATGAGCCTCTCACCCTGGACAATCTTGCTGATGCGCTCTTCGGCCCTTTCACATTCAGATTTCTTTTTCATGAGGGCGGCGGCCGTGGTCATCTCTTTCCTCTTGAGCTCACTGATGTAAGCGCCTTTTTCACGCACTTGGGTTTGCATCTTACTGACGAGCTCTTTGGCCCTCTCGCATTCGGACTTCTGCTTCGTGAAGGCGGCGGCCGTGGTCATCTCTTTCCTCCTGAGGTCACTAATGGAAGCGTCTTGTCCCCCCACTTGGGCTTTGAACGAGTATATGTCTTGCTTCATCGCGTCCATCTGGTGCAGGTGTAACCTGTGACGCAGCTCAAGAGTGTGTGGTCGAGGGATGACGTGGGGAATAGGTAAGCCACCCGCCACGACTCATTGATACGAGCTTCGGGCTTCAATATCCACACTGAACGCTGGCCTTGACTTAATATTTCGCAAAACCCAGAGTATGTCACGCGCTTACCGGGTTTCGAGGGACACTGCGAGGATCTTTCCGCTCAGGTGGTAAATCTTGTCCCAAGCCGGACTGTGAACCTGGTAGGTTCCATCTGCAGCAGGGCCGTTCATGAGAGTGACCAACTCCATCAAATCGTCGGGAGATCGTGCTAGTACCGTCATACCCTCTGGCAACTTGGGGTACGGTTGCCCCGCCCCATCGAAGGCGGAGGGTCCAACCCACCTGACAAATGGTTGAATACCAAATTGGACCGATGATGATAGCAGTGCAACAAGTTGAAACCAAGCGGTTCTGCGAGGAATATAAAACAGAAACCCATGCACCACATGGTGGACGCCTCCATCGGGCAAGGTGGCGGCTGGGCACACGTTGTGGGCGCGTTCTCAAGGCTATGTACCGTTCAGGTCCGCGACATGTCCACAGCGCCTTGTTTCAAACAAGAAACAGCCAGAGCGGGTCTGACGTCCGCCAATGAGGCGATGTTGGCTAGGAGATTTGGAAAACAGTGTTGCAACATCAAACACTTTTTGCCGACTCAGCTCATTGGCCCCGGCGGCGCTGTATCAAACTGGAGGTTCAGGTCAGGAAGTGCCGTCGCTCTGTGGATGGATCTGCCCTCCAGCAATGGAATGGCCACTGTAGACTAGCATGGATTCGTTCAGGGTTGGGAACGTACATTCGACGTCGCAGACTCGGCACATGTACAGCGCGTTTTACTGTGACGACCAACCGGGCTTTCTGCATGCACACGAGTCAGGATAGTGGCATTGAAGCTCGAACAGGAGAAAACGGCTTGGGTGATGAGCGCAATGCTCGGAAGAATTCTCACCAGCTTGACAACGGCGCCATGAGAGAGTACAACGGTAACTTCCAGCACTTCCCGTCTGCTTGGGTGATCAAGTACCGACCGTACGCGGATGGTGGCTTGTCCATCGAAACTGACAGCCGTTTGATGATAGCTGTCTCATGTATCACATGAACCTTCAAACCGGCTGGCAGGTCTGGCCAAGACGGGGGCGTCCACCTGGGGTTGAACACGAACAGCCCAGTTAGGGGTCCATGAGCAGAAAAAGAGGGTGCGACTTTGGCAGAATGTGGTGAGGTGTTGTTCGAACGAAATTCATGCTCTTCGACCAACCTCGAGGGTTACAAGCTCTCCGTGAGTAGGTTTCGCAACCCGCGCACAACCTCACCAGGCTTCAAGAGGTACGGCAAGCTTTTCAATGTGATGCTTCTCCTCCCCCGCCGCACCCTGCTGGTGTTCGTAGGCAACCAGGTAACCATCATCTGATGTCGGGGGCCCACCCACGACAAGTTTGCCCCGAGTGTACTTTGACGATACGATGACCACACTTGTGCCCGCTGGAAGGAAGAGATTCACCTCCCCGCCAGATGTCGAAGCTCGCCAGAAGAATTTTTTCCTTGGCCTGTGTGAATGGGTGTATGGGGAAGGCGCGGTGGGTCAGAAAAGACGCCCGTGCAACCTGGATTACCTTGAGTACTAAAGCAAACTCTCAGAGGTGACGGGAAAGACAGTGGAAAACATGGCAATGGTGACGCAGACGAACGGAGGAGGAAGGGAGAGCTCGAAGGAAGGTGGCGATGTACAGAAGAGAAATATTCAGGGGGAATAGGGTGCGGAGGAGAATTGTCGGATAGTCTACAAAAGTGACGAACCAACAACAAGATATAGGAGATGGTGTAAAAGAGGAGCAACACCTTCGACCTGGCTTTTTTTCCACCTAACGGGGTGTAAGGGTGCCCGAAAATATTTTTGAACAATTTCGTGGGGGGGGGGTGCCGGAACTCAAATTCCTATATATAGCATATTGGGCCTACGGTGGGGACCAATTGTTTCTTTGGGGCACCCTTTGCGCGACCTGAATCCTCGCTTGCGAATGCCCAAGCCAGATAACACAAACCGGGTTCGTCCGTACCAGGTATCAATCAAGAGAGCACCAACATCGTGTAACTTCGTCACTATAGTAGCACGCGCGATGTGCCCTCCGTATGAAGGTGGCGTGAGCACCAAAGTAGGTACCAATAGTTTGTGTGCGGGATGACTCTTTACGGGCACCCTTGCGTGGGGGGACAGAAAACTGCCAAGAAAGTGTAGGAGTGACCACAAGGGGGATGATATGTAGGACAAACAACACACGGAGAGAGCCGAAACGAATAAGAGTAGAAAGTACAAACCTCGGCAGATACGTGCATATCCCTTCGTTTGCTACTGCTTGAGAATATTTTATCCGGAAATTCGTCTAGTCTAGCCTCGTTCGTGACCCTGCCTCACGCGGTCCCTAATTACGGTTTAGAAGCGTGTTCCGTTTTTAGCCGCCGTACTACTGTCAAGACTCACGTCATGTCGTTCGTGAGCCGGTTATGTAGTATAGATTCACACAGACACACACATCAAACATGTCACAGCATCTCACCATCGCGCCATCAACTGAGGTAAGACTCTATTTTGGAATGATTCAGAACGTGGACACGTCTTTCATGCGACCTACACTTCCAGAACTCACCAATCGATCAATGACAGCGCCAACTCGGCGACAGAGAACAATTCCTTAGTGAGTTTCTTGCGCCCAACAACATTACGGGTGTAGTACTCGACGTGGTATCGACCATTGGCGTCAGGAGGGCCGCCGTCAATCAGTGTTCCTTCACGGCTGTAACTTGTCGCCAAGAGGACCGGAGTGCCAGCCTCGAGGTCTGGACCCGGAATATGCGACATCTGTATGCAAGACACAGAGAGAGGCTGAGAGTGTTAGATCCCACCAAAGGGCCATGACTTTTGTGAAACACTTGTTTAGCACCAGAGAAACCGTGAGCTCCCTGCCGCCTCTGGATAAACAGCGCACTGGTGGTTGCTCCCGGCCAGAGGCGTTTGGAGAAAAGAGGTGCACACTGCATAGTCTACAGCAGCGTTTGGTTCGACCTTGTGGATGAGGCCGATTGGTGTTTACCTTAGCCTGAACGCAATAATGATCTCATGAGAAGCTCATGGACTATCCCACTAGAATCCACAACCCTGTGGAGTGATACAACTCAGGCAGGCATCAATCGAGGGGAGAACAGCAACAGGCCACTGCAGTTGGACAAAATAACAAGGCGGGCTTTCAGATTTGAAGGACGACGCCAATCCCCATTGGATTTCACATTTTAGTTCCATACGCACCGACTGCCTCGTGATTCTCCTCAGCTTGATAGGAACGCTGCGGACATGTAACCATACTGAAGATAAGTCTGAAGATACGTCTTCACGCGTACGTGTGTTTTTTCTTTGCAACACCGCTAACGAGTTGACTAAGGAAATACGCAATACTTTGGCGCTATCAGTATAGCATGTTAGCATAGCTGGATGTGACACCCGGACATGGCCTTCTGGTCGACGCGCCCTCAGCGCGGGGGGGTGTCCCGCTTCCCGCAATCTCCCACACTACTGAACGTTTCCCAAACGACCATGGGCCTAACGGGGTGCCCATGGGCGGCCCATGGGCACTTCAACCTAGAACTTCGCCACTGGCATATCAACATAGAACTTTACCACCTGCACATCAACCTAGTACTTAGCCACCAGCGCCAACCGAGCACGTATCGTGTGGGCTTGGGGTTATCGTTAGGGTTATCGTTAGGGTTAGGATCATTTACCGCTATATTGCCCGTTCCAACGCAGATGATATCCTGGTTCGGTTGAAGGGCTCTCATTGGCCGCCCATGGGCTTCCCATAGGTTACTGATGGGCCGCCCATGGGCATCAAAGTGCCCATGGGTCACCCATGGGTCACCCATGGGAGTCCCATGGGTCGTTTGGGAAAACTGTTGAAAGTGCGGGAGACCCCATGGGCCCCACGCCAATATGAAGCCATGGGCGCCCTGTGGAATTCCCGCCAAACAACGGCTTTGGCCAAGACGGATGGATGGAGATGGTTCTTTGTGTATTGGCGTCTGGTTGACTCCGTTTACACCCGATACGTGCCCAATAATCCTCCGTCCGTAGGGAATAAAAAATCCTTCGTTTTGGCTACTATCCAAGAATCAAACAATGCATTATCTCAAGAAACTATCCTCATCGTAGCTCATCATACCACCTAACAATGGCGTCTCTCTGACGTTTGTCAACAAATACAAATATGCCGAGTCACTGAAACAGCGGAGGAGGTGTACTCATAGTCGTGCATGCCGTAGTCGTTAGACCATTGACTTCGCATCCCTACAAAGCCGGGACGGAGCACGCCGGGTTCTCACCGGACCAGGCTCTCACATCACCAAGCACGAAGCGCCGTGAGGTATTCGGCGAGTCGTATGAAGGGTGAGCTGCATCCTGCTAGGGGTGTTCGGCATCTTGTGCTTACTTCCTTGCGTACGGACGACAGCTGCGTATGCCTTAATTTGCTTTCTGGTGCTTTCACCCCCATAGTTGTAAGCACTGTGTAACTGCCTCGAGGGTGCTTGACCATTTTAACACCACGTGGTGCGATCATCTCCCTTGCGCGGAGTGAGGGTTCTCGACCCCGCACAATATTTTCTGCTCGACCACCATTCATGGTTACCGCAAAAAAAAAAAAAAGCAAAAAAAAGCGGAAACCTGGTTGCCGAGCTCACGAAGTGATCGATCGGCTTGTTTTACAACATCGCTGCCAAGCGACGAAAACCCAATCCCGATGGCAAACACCGGGGGAGGGCGGCTTGTTTTATAACGTCATTGCCACGCGACGAACGCCCAACCCCGAAGGCAAACACCGGGGGGGGCGGCTTGTTTTACAACGTCGTTGCCAAACGACGAAAACCCAACCCCGATTGCAAACACCGGGGGGGCTGGGAGTCGCTGAAACAGGAGCGCGCGAAAATATTATTCTTGCACTGAATGCAGACCCCCTTTCTTGTTTGGCACGTTTTCGCGGGGGGAGGAGTGGTACCGGCATTCTTTGGGTAACCCCATTCTTTTGGGGTCTTGCCAGTGAGGTAAAAGAAACCGAAAGTGGAAGTGCCCAGGGTAATTTGCCTATGGACATGTTACCCCTTGCTCACGGAAGTTACCTGGTGGACCAAATATCACAAATGACCCGTGTGAGTGTGGCATCTAGCAGCACGACGATGTGCGTCTCAAACCTTTGTACCTTCCTAGTTCCTAGCCGTAACTTGTGGTATATTTGAATGTCCGAGTCGACACATCTTCCTTTTCGTTCAGGCTAGGAGATACATGGAGCCGACGAGCAGGTATTCCCATGCCGCTGTGGACCGCTTGTATTCTTCAATCTCGACTCGGGCTCGTCAGCCAAATTGATACATGGTGGTATTGTTAGTCTTTACTCTACCGTCATTCCGATCGAAGCCAAGTACCTACTTCCATGTATTTGTTCCTCGTTACGGGAGTCTTGCAGCGCTTTTGACTGCTCGCCGACATATTATCTACCTTTTTTTTCGAACCATGTAATCTCTCCTCGTGCCCATCACTGTGCGGAAATTTGTTCTCGAGTACCTTCACAGAGCCGGCTGACCTAAGACAGGTGCGAACGTGCGAACGTTCGCCTAGAGGCACCACACCCACGACAACATCGTCGTAGCTGTGCGCTAATAATACGTGCATTCGTGCAGAAGAAGTTTATGGGCAGACGAACGCGAAGGCACTATTGATCAGCCAACCTATATTGTATGTGTAGTACGGCGGGAAATACCATGCTTGTGGTTAAGACGGGGGGGGGTGAAGTTGACGTTGGGGGTGATGAAGTATGTCATGTTTAGTCGTGGCGCGACAGAAAGGTTACCTACAACTTGTGGGGCCCCGTTGATTTTCAAGTACACGCGGCTCAGATTGATAAATTCAGTCTCCAACGATCACGCAGTTGTCCTTGGTATTCAATGACCTTCTTTCGGTGGGTTGAATACCGTTATCGTTCGAGGTTTTCCACCGCCGGGAAGTGGGTTCT